ATTTCGTAAGGGATGATCACGAAATAGTTTTGTTTGCGGATGACACTTCACTCTTGTTTAAAATTAAAAGAGGGTTACCTCTAAATGACGATGTGAACAATTCTATCGCTAAAGTAGTACATTGGTTTAATGTAAATAATCTTCTCCTTAATGAAGGAAAAACAAAATGCTTAAAATTTGTACTACCTAATGTTAAAAAAGTAGATATAAATGTTAATGTAAAAGATAAGAACATGGGCCTTGTGGATACCACAGTATTTTTAGGAATAACATTAGATTCTAAACTACAGTGGGGCCCACATATTGATAGATTGTCGAGTAGACTTAGCTCTGCAGCATATGCCGTAATGAAGATACGTAGGTTAACTGACATAGATACTGCCAGATTAGTATACTTCAGTTACTTTCATAGTGTTATGTCATACGGTATCCTATTGTGGGGAAATGCTGCCGACATACAAACAATTTTTGTGCTTCAGAAAAGAGCAATTCGATCAATTTATAATCTTAGGATTAGGGACTCTTTAAGGGAGAAATTTAAGGAAATAGACATTATGACTGTTGCTTCTCAATACATATACGAGAACTTAATGTACGTTCGTAAAAATATTAGTTTGTTTTCTATTAAAAGTGATGTACACAATTTTAATACAAGAAATAAAAATAAATTAACGGTGCCTGTCACTAGACTGCAAAAAGTTAATAACTCTTTCAAGGGTCTTTGTGTGCGCTTCTACAATAAGGTCCCAAGCAAAAAACAACAATTAGATATCATGCAGTTTAAATCTACTATTAAAAAAATACTTATTAAAAAAGCTTATTATAAGGTATCCGATTATGTAACAGATAAGAACGCTTGGACTTGAGATGATCCAGCAACTGGATAGGTGATTACTTCTAAACTCATTATCTTGTTTCCATTATTATTAAATGATTATGTTATTATTATAAGACCATAGTTTTTTTTATCTCTGTTTATAATGTATTGATCTGGTAATGACATGGTTTTTGTAAATGTCATTACTCATATTAGAGCTGGTGAGTTTCTTGCTCGTTCTTCTTATCAGCCAAAAGACGTCCTGAACGAGTGGTAGGGAAAAAATGTTGGACGATTCAAAAGTACTTTTAAGAAGTCTATTTGAATAAAGATTATTTTGACTTTGACTTTGACTTTGACTTCCTCATTGAATTTTAACTTGATATTAATCCGAGTTATCAGATCTATAATAACACTGGCAATTCTATTCTCTTTGGTTTGACGTCATGAATTGAAATTCAGATCCTACAATTTGTGCTGCCATCTAATGAAATAATTTTTTGTAGTTCCTTTATTTTTTTAAATACTTCCTCATCGACGACTGGTTTAATAATAATGTTCAAATTCAACAAAAACAAAATCATCGAAAACGATGATGTCAAATATGAGAAAATAAGCTTTTTGTATACGATAAATTTGATAAACTTGAAACAAATTACCAGCAAAAACAAAAAATCTATTCTATAACAGAGTAGATTAAGTACAAAATAATGAGCCAAATAAGGCCAATCAAATTCAGCATAAGAGAAAATGTAATAATAGAACTGCATAGACTAACAGAAGGAATAATTTAAAAAAATTATCCAAACATAAGTAAGCGTTATGTTCAATTTTTTCAATTATAGCTAACTTATTGGAAAAAATCGAATTTTTGGATATTACCGCACAACAATCAACCCAGTTCTGGTAACACACACACACACACCCAGTACCCTTATTTGACCATTTAAGACAAAGACTTGCTGGCTTGGTATGTTAACTTGGGGAAGTTTGATTTCTCTTTGATTCTAAATTGCTGCATCAATTATACAAGGCCAGTTTGTGACAATATCGCTGCAATATGGTTATGTTAGATATGAAGTTTCTAGTTTGCGACAATATTGTTATGACAAAGATACTTATATGTAACACATCCATCATCTTCATGGGCGCCCGAATAGTTCTAAGTCTGCAAACTAGATGGCGCTGTTCACTTAATGCATCGTGGTATCAGTTTATATTGTTAGATTGTGGCAAACTTGAAGCAAGTTTTCTTTTTTTGATGTATCAAACTTGTTTCAACTCAGAAACAAGTTTAAATTGCTATCTGGGATCCTATTCGATGACATCCCTTATACAGCATTGACTTTGATGATATAGATGTAACTGGAAAAACAAATGAAGATACCTCAAAACATTAGAAAAAGTAATAAACAGACTTTAGAAAGAAATAATGAAAATAAACCTCAAGAAGTGTACGTTGTAACAAAACGACGTAGGGTACTTGGGTCATACTATAAGCAGGGGCGTGCACAGAGATTTCCGGTAGGATACGTAGCATGTAATTATATTGAAAAAACTTGCAAATTTTCAGCATAGTTTACAATACCTTCTAATTAGTTTGATCACTTGGCCTAACCTGATGATCATTTGATATTTTCTGGTCATCATCGAAATAAGTTCATCATTATCATCAGCCGTAACACGCCAACTGCTAAGCTTATTAATGATGTTTTGATGGGTTTGTTTGTCATAGTCTTTACTCAAATTTTGTTTGGGTCTTGGTTGCTGGGAGACAGTTTTCCTGTAGGAAATCTGAGATTTTTGAGGAGATTCTTGATAAACATGAGTATTTGGTTGGGGGGTTATAGGGGTCTGTGCAATGTCTGAATATAACCTCCTGACAGGAGGAAAGTTTGCAGCTGCCTCCTGGTATGAGACATTGTTTTGGGACATAGCGAGTTTAATAGCATTTTGGCGTGATTGTTCAGGAAATAATTTATTGTTAGCAAAGCGTCTAGAAGAGCAATATAAACATGTCGAATCTTTTTCAAGTATCTCACAACTTGAGGTGAGGTTGAGCACATCGGAAACATCTTGCTTTAGATCGACATTGAGTACTGATATGTCCAAACCTGCAGCAGTTAAGGCACTGAATAGTTGGAAGTTGATACGGTTCGACTGGCATTGAGGTGTGGAAAATGTATAGTTAATATAATATATATTGTTAATATAATATATATTGTGTTAAAAAATAGAATAGGAAAGCATAGGAACGGCACTCCCAGCCGAAGGAACGAATGAGAATGAATAAAAGAAAGAATAAGTATGCGGAATGGAAGGAAGAATATGTGATAGAACTGGAACGAAAGAGAAAAATAGAGTAAAAAAGGCCTGCTAAAAAGTGGGGACAAGCGTAGGGCCCGGCCCGAAATGTGGGTCAGGCATTTTTAAAAAAAAAAAAAAAAATATATATTGTTAAAATGTATAGTTTTGGGGGCGGAACTTGACTTTGACAATGAGAGACTCAACTAATTCTTCCATAGACAAATCTGTAGGGATGCCTTTAACAATACCCATGCGGGTAATATTGTAATTTGGTATAATTGCTGAATTGTGAGACAACCATTATCAATAAATTTATTTGCATCTAAGCCGGTCTTAAATTCAATAGCATTTCTATTCCGACCTATTCTTTTTACACCATCATTGGTAATGTTTTTGATTTTATTTTTGATAAGGAACTGTCCAAATTTGATCGGATGAATCGAGGATGAGATGAAGGATCTGTTTCTAGTTTGGAGACATGAACAATAAAAGGACCTTTATCTGACATTAAATATTGTTTTGTTTGTGAGTCTGATAAAGATGGGTCTGTATATAAATTTGGGGAAGACGAAATATTCTGTGACTGACCGAGTTCCAGTATAGTTCTTTTGATTGGAACATCTGTCTGTTCGTTAGTCATGTTCCGTCTTTTAGTGCCTAACTGGCTTTGAGTAAATATTGAGGGAGACAATTCCGCAGGTACAGGCGTGGGTGCCCTGTCCGGAGGATCCGGAGGGTCAGGAGGGATCCTTTCCATTGATTACTCTCTGCAATCAAGAAAGGATGCAAAGTTAATTTATAAGTTACTCACCAGCACCAACAAAAAATAACTATCACTACAGATGTTTCTAATCAACGTTTACACTTTACAGTAATACTACGTAGAAAGGATAGAGTAAGTAAATTATAAAACGAAAGCCAAAAATCACGTGTAGTAACCTTACACTAGCGAGTTGACAGTCCGTACTAATGTCCCATCCATCTGTAGGTTGACAGGCTGTAAAGTGCGAGCCCTGTCAACAAATATAAATGAGTCGTAAAATGTTTATGACAAAGAAAAAACCCAAAAAGAAAACCTTCAAATATATCGATATGAAATAAAAAAGTTTCAATACTTTTAGCGAATCCTTACCTTATTTTATCACCCATCTCTACTCTATATAGCTACTATACTATTGTGATTGTGAATCTATTTTCTTCTAGACTCGAAGTTTGTTTGTTATTTATAGAAGTATTAGTACATTGTGGCACTACGCACCACTTGTAGCTCATTTTTTAAAGAAAACCAAAGCCGAGGAAAGTAAAAAACGTAAAAAATACGCACTACGACTTCAATTTCTCTTCTAAATTATTATTTCAATTTACTCTAAAGACAGTTGTTACTTATCGATTTGACATATTTACTGGCCTGTGACGTCACGATCAGCGCCATTACATAGAGCAGCGTATTTCGCGCGCTTTTGGCTATTTAAATTTTAACAATTATTTTCACCAAAAATAGAAATGATTCCAATCTGAATTAAATAAAATATTATGACAGTGTGTTTATAATTTGGCAAACAACGATTTAAAATTAGTTTTTAAAAAAGTGTCAAATACCCTATTACCTTCTCTATGGAGGTCTGGAAGATTAAAAGTTTCTTGAATGTAGAATATTTGCGACCAGACTAATTACTACATATTAATTCCTTATTTTGTGGAAACATATCGATACATCTTGTGTATTGAAAACATTCAAAAAAACCATATCGCTGACTATATGACTATAAATTTGCGTATTTCGTAGCACATGAGTAGCGTAGCACATGTCTGGCACGGGTATATATGGGCTATTTCGAACACTGGGCTACTAGCCTCGTGTAAACGGTCCTTATTTATTGTTGCAAGCATGAAGTTCTGAAATAGGGACTTTACTAGCCATATGTATGTAGTAGTGATATAGTTTTAGTTTGTGGACTTTTCTCATCTCAAGTGGTCAAATCAAATATTCTTGAAATCATTTCGTTCGAGGTTATATCAAGGTTCAAGAAGAGAAACCAGAAAGTGGGAAAAAGAATGCCCAAGAAATTTATGTAGTCCATTTAATTCATCAACCATCATCTTCAGTTCTTATAAGAATGAGTACTTAATGATTTTGAAACTTAGATTTAAACATTAAAAAAGTGCTTTACCAAATGTCTCTAAATATTCCAAGACTCATTTTTACATAAATTTCAATCGGTACCTATCCAAAACAATAAATGCCGAAGAAAAAAGGACAGAAAAAAATCTCTAACCAAGGTAAATGTAAGACGTATGTTTTAAAAAATTCTTAAATAAATCCAGCCCCAGTAGGGCCCAGTTGGTCAAATACAGTCATTATTGATCTATAAAACTATGAAGTTTTAAGAGAGAGGGGGGGAGGTTGGTACAGTTTTGCTATTATTTATCTAAATACCTTTAATGTGGTTATTACAGATTTTACCATAAATGATTGTGCTAATGCACCTAAACCAGTTGGAAAGTTGAAGAAGTCTGTTGATGCTGCCCCTCCTGTTGAACTATCTTGGGATCAAATTCAGGATGAGGAGTGTGACTTGGTGGAGGAGTATGACGAGAATGGTATCAAGAGTATTGTTTATAGAAAAAAAAGAAATCACTCTAAGTCTGAAGGCGATAATAATGAAAATGCAGGTGTCATATATCCTGAGATTGTATGGTACTTAATATCAAAGTTCATAAAACCAGAAGATGTTGGAAGGTTTGCTGGTATAAACAAAAGTACATATGCGATGACCAAACGTGAGTCATTCTGGAGATTGCTATACCAAAAATATTGTAAAAACAACCCAAATTTGCCAGAAAGATTACGTCTAGAGAACAGTTACAAAGTTTATGGGCTTCGGCAAAGAGTTATTAGAGCCCTTTATCACTCATATGAAGTATTTACAAAGAAAGTAGTTAACCAGTCTGCACATGACAGTAAGCCTCACGAATTGGTGAAACGGTGCTGTGTTAATGTTTGGTTCACTAAGGGTCTCCATCATTGGTTGATCTATTTTAAATTCAAGAAGTTACATCCCATGCAAAGGCTCCAAAATACAGCTAGTTTAATTGAGGAACTTGGAAGAGTTGATGCTAATCCAGAGGAGAATTCACAAGTTTTGCAGGTAAATATTTAAAATATATGAGCTTAGTCATGAAAGAACTCTATTTTACACTCTTATAGTGTTTGCTACCAAAAATACATACTTATAACCATAGCTACAAGAAATCTGTAAGTTTGTATTAGATAGTTAGCAAATAAGCTTAATACATTATAGCTAAAAGATTGAGCTGGTGCTGGTTGAATTATTGGCCATTTGGAAGTTTGTATAATCCATCCCTGACAACTTCTCACTATTTGGCAAACTGTTTCATTTTTGATATTTATTTTCAACTACATATTACACTTGCAATTGTTCCTAAAGCTCTGGTTGAATCACATAGTTAATATGTAAATAATTTTGTTATCATCATACTTTATAACAAGTCTAATAATTATTACTCTGTGTATGTTTATTTAACAAGTCTATTAATTTCAGGTAACATGCCAAAACTTCTATGAGGTGCCTCCATTGATGGGTATGACTCTATCATCAGTTAGTGTTGTATTATCCCAAGGGTTTAGACATCATAGACTTCACCTCGGCTTTAATACAGGTTCCCATAATGTTTCCAGAGATATACTGCCAGAATGTACTGTGATTTTAGATAGTGTTATAAACATTGTTGTGTATGATTGGTGGCATCCAAAGTACCCATATTTTGATAATAAATTGCCTTCAAACATGAGAGATGAGGAAGCATTACCTGTTTTAAAGAAAGACTTTTTCAACTGTTAAGAGAAACATTATTGATAAGATAAAACATATGTGATACATAGAATAAAAGACCAATTATATATTTTTTGATTGTTATCATGTTGCATTATTTATTTCAGCTCTTTCCATAGACAAAGAAAATTGCAAATTGGGAATCTGAGATTTCATTCCATTATTACGTCCGCATTTTGAGGGACAGCTAAACGGTCTACTCTGTTGTTAGAGAAGAAACATAATATATGAGAAGCTTATCTGAGCATCAGAGGCAGTAGGTATCTCTAACTCCCGTTACCTTTTAATGGTGAAATGATACTTTTTAAGGAGTCTTAAGCATTTTGAAATGGCACAATTTTATTTTTTGGAGAAACAAAAATAGCTCATCTGAACCACTCTAAATTTACTAGACAGCACCTTTACTTTAATATTCCATCAAAAAGAAAAACAAAAACCCAACTGCGTAAAATCGAATTTTCAAAAATACATGAAATAATTTACTTCAATAAAAACTAAAAAGAAAGAAACAAGCCCAGTAGTTTAGAATTCTGTTAAGTAATACTAAATAACTACACAATTGAAATAGTTTTATAATCAATACACACATAATACAAATCATAAATTCTAACGACTCATTGTCGGGTGCCCCTTGGGAAGATTTGATTGGTAAAATTAGAATGGGCACCGACTGTGAGTCTTTTTGGTAAATTATTTATTTTAATTTAACGTTTTTTTGTTACAATTACTTATTAACTACTGATGTACCCAACCTACAATCGTAATAGTTTTGGTGATAGAAATGTATGATGATAACAAAAAACAATAGGTATCCAAATTAAATATTTCCAAATTTATGTACATACTAAAGTCAGTTAACTACTCTCTCTTGGTGAGCTAAATTCAGTTGTAAAGTATAAGAGCTTAAATCCAACAAAGTGAAACGTGCATGAATGAACAACGCCATCTATCGAGCTTGGTGGTAAACTTTTTTTATTTGGCAACTTGGCGATGAATAAAAGTTTTTTTTTTTACCAAAAATATTTGTTCTTCATTCTTTTTCAGTTTTTTTTTGTTTGTATATCGTTTATGCTTTAAATAAAAACTTAATCAATAAGTAAGAAAATTAGCGAGAATGATTGTTTTGATATCCTTAACTATTATTTAAAATGAAAAATGATAAAAGGAACCTAAAGATGATTTTAAAATACCTAATCAACGACATCCCACTTGACATAGTCCATCTTGACAATATGACGTCTGGTTGTCGCTGTGGTGAATTTTTATTACTGTCATGTCTTTAGTGACACTCGCAAGGTTAAGACGAATCGATTGATGTAAGAATCATGAAAATCGGCCTACGCATTTGGTCTCTAAAACGCCACATAGAAACAAACATACATACATAGACTGATAAACACATTACCCTCCTTTGCGTCGCGCAGTCGGGTAAAAATGGCTATCTATGAGTGTGGGATCAAAAGCGGTAATGTTTATTTAATAATATAGGTACACACGTAACAATCAAAGGAATGTATATGCAATAAATAGTTGAGATCTAGACTGTAACCGAAAAATTTGTACGTGTCGCAGCCAATGGCGCCATTCAATTAACAGGATGACTTTCGATCAGCTGAGTAGCTGAACGCACATCGTTCTACAATACGACTGAATAAAAGTCGACCAACTAATCAACTGAAAACTCTTTAAGAATGTCGTATCGTAATCTGATTATAAAGATAATAACAAACTGCATGTTCGCAAGTAAAAATTAATGAGTACGGAAACTAACGTGCACATCCATAACGCAAGTGGGGAAGATTATACTTTCTTAATAAATTCTTAATATTAATATAATTACGCCACCGAGTAGCTTGGTGGCGTAGTGGATAAGCGCCGCGGCCCGCGATCGTAGTCGTTAAGCAACTTTCGCTAGGGTCGGTCACGGGATGGGTGACCAAAAAATTATTATCTCGAGCTACTCCGTGCTTCGGAAGGCACGTTAAGCCGTTGGTTCCGGCTGTATTTGCAGTCGTTAATACCCTCCAATCCGCATTGGGCCAGCGTGGAGGGTAATGGCTCGTCATCCTTAACCATCCATAAGGAAGGCCTGAGCCCCTGCAGTGGGGACGTAAAAGAGCTGGTGATGGATGATGATTAATATAATTATACAAAGACAAAATATACCGCCATTCCGATGGCTACAGTGCCATCTATCGAAAAAGAGAGTAATCAGTGTATTTGACTGAGATTGTTTTAGTAAGTATGTTTATTACTATTTGGAAACATGATAAACAACGAAGTTGTTTTGGTCCTGTTGGTGTCGTGATAGGTTAGAAAATTTCGAGGTTATTTGTTTAACAGATAGATAACGAAACTAAATAAATAAATATCGGATAACATCACACACATTGATCCTATTCCAAGGTATGTAGCTTAGGCACTTTTTTCCTTGGCGTTGCTCCGGATACCAGAAACCACGGAGGAATACAAATTTATACATAATATAAATAGAAAACACCCAGACACAGAACATACATAATTGTTAATCACAAAAATGTTTGTCTTAGGTGGGGATCGAACCCACGACTCTCGGCCGCGCCGTGCAAATGAACGTTTTTGCGGCTTTTAAATCTAACGTTGAAGGGATCAATGTCATAATGATTCAACTAGAAAACTAAGTATTGAATTGAATGACACCATTCAATTAAGCCGCTAGTCGCCCAATTGAACGCCTGTTTTAACCAGTCAACTGCGACATACATACCCGTTTAACATGGAAATCTCTTAAATAGAATTAATTATATTAATTGGGCCAGCGTGGAGGGTCATGGCCCATCCTCCTTAATCATCCATAAGGAAGGCCTGAGCCCCTGCAGTGGGGACGTAAAAGGGCTGATGATGATGATATTACGTTTGCCCTTTACAGGTTCTTTTCGGATTATGATGACATAATGGAATTAGTTTTAAAAAATAGTTCTGCATTAAATCTAATCACTGAAGCAATTGTCAAAGTAGGTAATCTATGAATGAATACAAATTACGTCTTTTGTTTTTTTGCCTATATAAATATATCATCAAAATAGGTATTTAGGTGATATCTTATGTATGAAACATATCTTGTTTTGTTGTAAAAAGAAAACAAAAATATATTTTTGAATATCCGTCAACAATTAGCGAATATACATAAAAAAACAAACATCGCCGTCGAACATATAATCTCTTCTTCGATTTTAAAGTCGATAAAAATTAATTATAATATATGTATATGGTTAGTTGCTGCATATCGTTCCGGATAGTAAGTAGGTATATGACCTTTAATAAGTAACAGGTAGGTACTTAGGCGCTAGTGGTGTTTAAAAACATTCATATGTATAGTCTTTTGGTAAAAGTTCAGTGAAGAAAAATAATTATATGTATACGCACTTCACGGACGAAGACACATTTCAAGTGGGTAGATAAGTATCAAGAGTAATAATAATGTGATGAAGTAATCGAAATGACCTGCGCGGACGCACGACCTTTGTAGCTATTACGATATTACGTGTTTACTCAGTAAGTATTCTTCGGTTAAGAAAACAAGAGCACCGATCGGTAGCGAAATGTTGAAGAATTTTGTTTTAATCCTTTGCTGTTTAACGGTAAGTTAAATTTGTGGATAAATATTTAAGAAATTTGTGATCTGTGAATGATAAGTACCCCTCGTATCTGACTACGTTCTGTTGTTTACATTCCTATTACACTCAACCAGTGACTTGTTCAGTTTCTATACCATTCGTATTAATTTTCTTTCATCCTACTTATATTAAAAATGCGAAAGCTTTAGATTTTAGAGGATATACATATGCGTGTTACTTTTTCACATAAAAAATACTAGGTATACGGTTTTGGATGAAATTTGATGTACGAATTAGCTAGCTCGGTAACTAGGATGACTTTCGATCAGCTGAGTAGCTAAAATACAATGCAGTGTGTTACGAGTATTATTGATGTACATAGTAACTGTATTTACGTAGCTGTTATACAACTTTATAGTATTTATACGCCAACGAAGGTAGTTATGCTGAACATTTTTGATTGAACACATCAGAATGTACGTAGCGTCCTACGCAAAACAATGGAACGATGGCCATAAAAAATCACAACAAAATAAAAAACTAACGTCGGTACACCGATTAAAGAGTGTAACTTTGACAATGCCCAAAGAAACTCCTTTGGTACTGCTGGTAAGTTTTGAATATCGAGGACATAAACTCATGTTCGAGAAACAAAAGTAAATTTTTATAGGATTTTTAAGGTTCAAATAATAAGAGTAAAAATAATCTGTCATGCCGCCCCCAAAGCCGAGCGCCCTAGGCTGTCGCCCAGTTTAGACGTGCTGGCCATTCTGAACTAGTACGTACGATATTCTAGGAAATTAATAATATTGTTGTTATTTGTAGATATGCGGAGCCGACATACCAGTTACTCCTCCTGCCCCACCAATGGTGTACTGTGGGGAGCTGCCTGATCAGGTCAGTTTAAAAATGAACACCTTGGTTATTGAAATTGAAGATCAATATCGTTTATTAAAGTGGATCGATTGCCATATTTTTGTTAAATAAGACAGTGTTTCTTAATCCTTTATGATTGTTATCCCTATGGCGTTTCGGGAAACTGATTTTATCCACCTAGAGAGAAGGCCACAGCTCCAGAAAGATATCTCTACTAGATACGATCAAGATTCTTCAATCTATTATTCTAGTCTTTTTTACCCTCGCATAATAGCTAGTTAACTTACCAAGAGGTATTAAACCCCATTTTATAGTATTTAAAATGGCAATGCTAGTAGTGACGGCCTCATTAGGGGTTTCATGAAAAGGCTCAACGTTTGGTATAATGAGAGTAAATATGACAGTGTGCTGTCTTCTAAGTTAGAAGTAGGGATGTACTGAGACAAACAAAATTATCTACATAACTTAGCAAGATTAGATATGGCTTATTTACACCGATCTATACGCATGCACGGATTTCGGTGCGGCTCGTTTTCATAGATCGATTATCATTATTTTCAGCCTTTTTTCAATACTACTGAGACATGGATCTTCCCTATGGGTGGAATCGAATCTCGTAATTGATACACCTAATATTTATGTGATTAGAATATAAGAAAATAAGAGATTAATATGTAATGCCAATATTTATTTCAGATTCATGACTGTCTGAAGACGCCTGCCTTAGTAGACAACGAAATTACTAGTAAATGTGTGGGAAAAAGTAATCGAGTAAGTGCCAGCATACTTCAATATATTAATTAGCATTTTTTAAAGGAGTACAAAGTAGGTAAAATAACCAACCACGGGCGGCTCAACCTATAGTGTAGGGAGTGCAATGCACCCAGGCGGAGCGTGCTGGGGGGCGGCGCCGCGCCGATGATGGTCTCATATAAATATGTGTAAAAAGTGGGCTGGGGGGCGCCAGAGCACTACTTGCATCCGGGCGCATGTTGTGCTTAATACGAGCCTGTAACCAACCACGTCTGGTCGACTACTTTAAAAAAAAATTGTTTGTTTACTTTTTATTTTTTTTGCGTTCACATCGTATTGGTGCGTGCTATTGATTGCAGATAAAAAACTTGGTGTGACTTCTGAAGCATATTAATTTTTTCGTTGGGTACTCGTTTGAAACAACCAAATATCATAAATTTTCTTAACGCCTTTCGAGGGTCTGCTGGTCTATAAGATTGCTTATCTCAGCAATAATAGCTCCAAGACGTTATCGAGTATGTGCGTGTAACACATTGATTTATCCTTCAAAAAAAGCGTTATTTCTTTATATAGTGTGACACGTACACTTGCGTGTTTCGGGAAGCTGGGTGGCTGGTAGACGGGACGGTGGACAAGAAGAAGTTGGTCCAGCACTTCGACCAGTACGGTGTGGACCACCCGGCCTGGGCGGAGGTCGCGCGTCAGTTCAAGGCCACCTGTTTGGAGCGTGATCTGCCCGCGCAAGGGCTTTATCTCAATTGTCCCGCATACGACATAATGTGGTGTGTTTTAACTGCATCTATTAGGGTAAGTACAGTAGGACGATTCTGTAAAAATCCGAACCCGATTTCGAATTCACTCTTGTTTCCGAATTCACGACATTTAGTGAAGAAATTCTATTCATGCTACTTTTTTTTGTATTAAAATACAAAATAAAATTTATTGATTAATTATACGTGTCTCAGATAATCTAATTCTATGTCATCTCGAAACTCACTCACTTAGCGACCAAACATTATTACCAATTCAAGATTGAGCGGTCGCCGCTTTTTGGACACCTGATTGAATTCGAAGGCGTGTTTGGGTAGTTGCCCGAGATTCATCAGCGACACCTTTTTATTTTAGTACCTTAGGGATCATTTACCCTAATGTGCCGAAGACTTAATTCTGTAAATCTGTAAAATTCAAAACATCATAAATTAGATTTATTTGATACGTTCGAGTTGAGTATCTGAATTTTTTAAGATATCGGTACCATTTTATTGTACACACGTCAGGTTACTACAATATTTCAAATACCTCTTGTTAATTTTAAACTCTACCCTGAAAACATTAAGGTTGATGATGAAGTGAAAAAATTATACAGCTATAACTTGACACGCTGTTGTCTGTACCACCCAACTAACATTACCGTTGCAAATAGAACTTACTTAAGACCCTGAAGTGTTATAAAGGTTGATTAGTAGCTGTAATTATAGGTTGTGGTGACAAAAGAGAGTTAGTAATAAAATGCAAGTCTATAATAGTAATATATAGAAGCTAAAGGCGTACAGCAGCGATTATTATCGCTAAAGTACAGACCAAAGCTTCTGTGTGTTATAGCTTTGAGCCAATCTTACCACTATAAGATCTATATAAGAAATTATCATTAACTGTTCACTCCTCAGGTTCTAGGCCAGCTATTATAAACTCATTTGTAGCGCTGATAGTTGCGCAAAGGGAGCATTTAACGCTACTAGCTCTACAAGAGTGTTTCTTAACTCTTTTTTAAAACCAAACTCCTAATGGGATACATAACTCCTGTGTATAACTTAGGGATGAATATTAGAAGTATTTCCCCCCTATTAATAGATCCCATAGTGTCAACTGTAGTCTCTATATTACCTTAAGTTGCATTTTTGGTTTATTACCACTTTAATTATTCTATTTAGTCATGTGTTCGCTTATGTAAATCGATAAAATGACGTCGCAACCTAGCTCGACAAGAAGTGCTTTAAAAGTTGAAAAACTTATGACAATTAAGTTATTTCGTTGTTTATTAAGTTATATAGCAGGTTTACGATATTTTTAAGTAAATAGGCAAAGTTATAAAACATATTTATTAAAAAAATGTTTCGATTTACTTGAAGTGAAACATATTTTTTTACGTAAATACACAACCCATTGAGGGCAATTATTTGCTTACAATATATAGCCATATTCTCAGTAAAGTTACTTTCGCAATGAAAATTGCGCTTCTGTCTTCCATTAACGAGTTAAAATTTCACTACTTAACTCTGCCATTTTTTCGTAAAGACCATTAGTGTGAGAATCAGGTGTAGTAACAATTTAACATTAAGGCAAAACGTCATGTTAAGCAGAGTAGGAAAAAAAGTTAAAAACTATGTCTTTAAATGTTAAAATTTCCTATTGTCGATCTGTACTCAAGGTTCTACAATTTACTTTATTGCCATCCTATAACCGCTTAAAGTGTTAGTAAGATGCATCTTAGATCTACTATAACCCTTACGGAATATTAATATTCATACATTTGCTTCCTTTGTTGCACTGAAAGGTCTAAGGTACCCTGTAGCTCTATTATACCGCTAAAAGAATCACTAGACACTTAAATACTTCTTTTACAATACTTTAGGACTCAGTGAGCGCTTATGTACCTCCACAATAACTACACTATATCTCTTAAATGCATTCTGTTACTCTACTATACCGCCATAGTGGAAATTAAGGTCATAAGAATTTGTGCCCAATCCAGGGGTACAGTAGAGTTATAGCTCTCTATAACTCCATGTGTGTGATAGCCCTTATTGAACACCACCTTATCTGTGTAGCTCTTTTGTAGATCTGTTCGAACTCTTATGTTAGCGCCTAATGTTACTTGGGCACACTTTAAATTAAAAAAATCTAATTTTAATCGAGATCAATTTTGAGTTATTTCATTTCATTTCATAACGAAGTTCTTTTTCAATTTGATTTCTCCGACCGAATAAAATAAAACAAAGGGAACAAACCAAGCCCCTGCTGAATTTCTTGGCGGTTTGTCGCAGCAAAAGGTTTGCCGCCATAGACTCGCGAATCGACAACATAGTTTTCAACTTTCACAAGTACTTATTTTTAACTCAAATTAAAATAAGGCTTGTTTTAGTTTAGTTTAAAGTGTGATAGAACAGAATTGGAACCAATGTCCATTGGATGCAGCGACGTCAACAGCTCTCCTATAGTATTATTCTATTAACGATTGCCTTGCGGTTTCATGTATTATTGTATGTATAGACTCTGGTCTTCCCAATGGATGGATTGAAACAGAGAGAAGGGGCCATAACCCACAACGCGCACCCATTGCTAATTGCTTTGCGACACGACAGCAAATGCAACTGCTAAACATGTCTTCCTATGCACGCAGGAGCTCGAGGCAACAAATTTTCGGCCACCCATCCCTTGCGAAAGTTGTTTAACTTCGTAAAGCGCGCTAATCACTGTGCCACCATGTGGCTTCGTATTGTGTAACGTGAGTTTTTATTTGTAGAGCGCACAACCCTCCCAGTGGGCCGCGACTGAAGCCTGCACGTACCCGCGCCAGTACGCGGCCGCCTGCCCATTCTGCCCCAGCGAGTGCTTCGCGTCTGCAATACCGAGTGGATCCTGTAATGCTTGTATTTCTCTACCAAGAACAACATAATTTGTATACTTGAAATAACAATAAATTATTATTACAAATAAAAGCTTGTTTTTCAAAATCTGTTCAATCGTTTAAAATGCTGAGCGGTAAGTGTAAGTTTTACGCTAACGCGTTCACTAGTGAGCGCGTTAAGAATTTGTATGGAGATTTGTAGTTCTTGATAGTTACCGCTAGGGGCACTGTACCGGATTCCATACTAAAATCTTAACGCGCTCACGATCGACAGTGAACGTAAACTTCATAAAAACTTACACTAAGCGCTCTGTAAGTACGGTTTGAAACGTGCTTAACTTTAAATTTTTAATTCAGAAAGCGGGTGTTAGTCTGTTTGTTTGTTGCGGGTAATCTTTGTAAATACTGATGCGATATTGAAATTTCTTTTACCTACGGGAAGTCACTTCATATACTTATGGTATAATTTACGCGGCCCAGCAGCTGGTTATATCTTACTATGTCTTTGTATAATACTAGAAGAAATAAAAAAAATGGTTAATTAATTCCTTAGTGATCTGGATATTGAGTAATGTTCATTTCTTAATCGACCCGCTTGGGAATCGAACCAGAGAACATAGTTAACGCGACAATTAAATCGGCGAGCGAGCCACTTAATCACGGAGGTCTATAAAAACATGGGTTAAAAGTTGTTAACCAATTTAAAATTAAGATGTTTGGGCACACTTACAATTTATTTTTATTATTATTTTTTAAAATAACTCTGTGTCTACCTATAGCGTTCCTCTTTTTAGACCTACGTATTGTAAATACTAACAGTTCTCTTCGTAACGGAACCCGCTTACATATTTGAATCAAATATATTTGCACTAAAGGAAAACGGATTCCAATACCATTTCCTTAGCTTCGCCTCATATCTTCATAATATCGAACGTCGGTTTTCCACCCACGGTTTTCCCGCAAAACAATTCCATCGATGTTTGGACGGCGCATGCTACAACTGCGAGCATGCGCTCTCCACGTCCTTTGACATCTGTCAGCTCCCAGTACCATCCCTGGCACGTTTGACGTCATTACCAAAAAGTTTGGAAAACCCTAGTGCACTGGCTGGAAAAACATGTGGATATTAGGTAACACGCCTCTTTTTTTAATTTAAAGTTTAAGAAAATTTATAGAACGACAAAACAAATAGAACCTTAGCTATTTTATTACGGTTAATTTTAATAGCTCATTTGCTCCTTAATTACTCATGTTTTGTGTATTCTTGATAACATTTTGATGTGTTAAAATTATAAAATAAATTTTCCATGGGCGATATTTAGGGAGTGGTATTATTTCTTATAAATACAGGTAAGTTAACTGATTGTCCTTCAGTTTGAGGACTAAGTGCCCTTGATATTGTTCTATTTTTAGCTCGCAGATAACACAAGCCTATCAATTATTCCAAATGTTTTTACCCTTCACTTTTGTAATGTTACGTATAAGAAATATTTCTTAGGTTTGTTAAAACGAAAGTAGAATTGATGGGAATCGTTCGACGTTTACCTAATTGAGTAATTTGTCCACATTAGACCCGACGGTTCTAATAAATTGCTCGTATCTCAAGCAGGATTCAAGATACAATGTATATATTTTTTTATATACCAAAACAACTTGTACTGCTTTATTCAACAGTATTTGAAATTTAAAAGAATAAACAAGACTTTTCAAAAAGTATCAAAATGGCTGGTGCACTAAACTTTCGTTACCTAATTGGGATTGTTATATGTTTCAAAATTTTAGAACGTAAGTTTAGAAATAGAAAAATAGATTTTCGACTTTAGATCATCTAAAATTTGGCATAAACGCTCATTGTAGTGAACGTAGCAAAATATGTTACGGTTTGGGAATCAATCTAATGGGGAAATTTTGGGGGAAAGATTCGGAAAAAAACAGATAAAAAGACAGAAAAGTTTATTGTCCTAATATTTTATTCCATTTGGTGGTTGATAAAATATAAGTACTATAAAATCGAATTCAAGATCAAAAATGTTAAGAGTAACAGAATTAGTACGTGTCTTTGAACCATAATTATTCCAGTTATTAGATGCGTATTCTTTGGTTTGGATAATAATATTAGATACATATTTTTTTTTGCTTCAATATAAAAAAAAATGGCTTTTATAATAGGCATAAAGTTGAAGACTGGGGGCTCGTTATGTCATAACTATGTAGAAAATGGACATAATTTAATCCGCAAAAAAATACGTGTCTAATATTCTACAATAATCTTCCCGACGAAAATAACTTAGACAACATCTCTATAGTTGTAACTCCTTTGTTTCGTTTTTCAAACAACATATATCGTATTCCCATGATAACTGGCAGCTTAGACTTTTTACAAAAAAGTTACAGAAAACCAAACGAAACTACGAAGCGTTTAATGATACACGTGATAGTGTGTCAAACAAGCATATTGTGTGTGCCAAAGATTTTTGAAATTATGATTTAAATCTAAAATGAATGATGTAAAAATCCATCAACCTCACTTAGTCACAATTTTCAGTATAGAAAATATGTGAACCCACTTATTTCCGTATTTTTTTTTTGTAGATAAACATTTGTGAATTTAACTTTGGCACCTCAGACCAATTTATTTGGTCTGAGTTTGGCACAACTATTTCATTTGGACATACATATTTATTTGTATATTTCTTTTATTCTAAATCGTCCTCTAACACAGGTAATCTAAATTCAAACTTCGTATCCGTCTATGACGGCATCTCAACTTGACCATAGATTGAAACTAATTATATTTTTCATGCTCACAGCATACGAACACGCTTTAGAGTTTAATTTAAATGTAGGTATATTACTTATAAATAAATAGATAAACGTAATTTTATTTTTAGATATCGTTTGTCTACTTACTTTATAATTATACCTAATACCAAACAGGAAAGCTCATCCTTAAAACAAGACAAATCGAAATTCTAAAGTCGCTTCGTGCTATATATTATAGGGTACTATTTTCAGAGCACTAAAAGTTTGAAATATGACAATGTTATTGAATTAGTTAAAAATATTTTTTATGAGTAGGTTTGGATAGGTATCTACTTTGACTATGTGATTTGAAGATTTTGGCAGTTTTTTTATTACCTACTTATCATCATTATCATCACCAGCCCTTTTACGTCCCCACTGCAGAAGCTCAGGCTTTCCTTATGGATGATTATGGAGGATGAGGCCATGACCCTCCACGCTGGCCCAATGCGGATTGGAGGGTATTAACGACTGCAAATGCAGCCGGGACCAACGGCTTAACGTGCCTTCCGAAGCACGTAGTAGCTCGAGATAAACATTTTTTGGTCACCCATCCCGTGACCGACCCTTGCGAAAGTTGCTTAACGACTACGATCGCGGGGCGCGGCGCTTATCCTCTACGCTCACCTAGGTTGGAGGTTTATCTCGAAACTTGCTTTCTTCACACATTTATATTTTATAAAAAATGCGATAAATGTTGTATGTATTGTTGGTTTTTATAGTCATTCTCCGTTACAAACAATTATCCGTGTTTCCACTACGCTACGATGTATCGAATCGCTTATTTTCTTATCAGCCCCTAATCATCTGACCGATCTGATAACAATTTAATAAATATCCAACAGTCGAGTGTAGAATATCGAAAAATATTGTTTGTAAGCGAGTTAAGTTTGTAAATTGTCTTGTGTACCTAGTTGTTTAAATTGTGCAGAAAATCCTAAATATATTTTGATTAAATTTTGCATTTATCTTTTTGAGTGATTCGTTGCCTTAGCAGTGTCACAACGTATTGTGATTGCGTTAAGGTTTGCAACACGACTGTATGTTCGTTGGATTGGATTTTCTTTCCATTATGTGATATTATGGGTTTGTAATTTTGAACAAAGTAAAATGTAGTAAATTTTGATTTCAATTCCAAACTTTATAATAACAGGGATATCTTTTTACACAACCCTTGCTACTGGATCACAAAATACGAAATGTATAGTGCCAAAATGAAATTAATTAAAGCAACATTAAGATCCCATTATTAAATTAACATAAGTAGAATTGAGATCCCGAAAGCGTCATCCTACGTAAGACCTCTATTTAGGTCGACTGAATTTAGCGTAGGTAGCAGGTCCTTATCTATCGTTAGTACTTTTAAAGTGCGACTGAAAAATAATCCGGGCCGTAAAGAGCAAGGTGATTCGAGTGAGGGCACAGGATATCCTGTAGGACTCTTAAATTTTTTACTGACTGTTTATAGTTACACCACACCATACTCCGTCGCAATAATGTTCGAGGGTGCAGTCGCCGGTATCCTAAACCGGCTGCTAGGCAAATATGTCCAGGACTTGGACACGGAGAATCTTAACGTGGGCATTTTCTCCGGTAATGTCAATCTCACAGACCTCAAGCTCAAACCTGAAGCCTTGGTGAGTTAACTGTCAACTCACATTATCTTTACCATTTGCTGTCGATATCTGCATCTGTTTTAAGTTATTAAACCAATAAATAATATTTGTAACTACGACATTTGTAAAAAATATATGAACCACAAACGCTCTGAATGCATTTGATTTTGTTATGCAGTTAGCATCATTAGCTATAGATTTCGATTCTTTCGTAGTCTACCGGGTTTTATCTTGGTCAGATAGGTAATTATAGATATGTATTTTTTTTTCATATTATTGCAGTATGAATTAGATCTCCCAATCGATGTAAAGATCGGCACCATAGGTCGCATCAATCTTCAAATACCATGGTCCGGCTTGTACACGCAACCAGTTGTAGTCAACATCGAAGACGTCTTAGTACTCGTGGGTCCAGCCATTTCCAACAGCTACTTCGATCCAGAGAGAGAGAAAAGACTTATGAGAGCTGCCAAAAGGAAGATTTTGCAAGACTTGGAAGCTGAAAGTGAAATATTGAAAGGACCACAGAATTTCTTCGAGAATCTATTCACGGCTATTGTTGATAATCTTCAGATTTACGTCAGAAATATTCATATTCGATATGAGGATTCTATTAGTTCGAAAGACGGGCCGTTGGCTTGCGGTCTTTGCCTTCAGAGTCTTTCGATTGAGACCACTAATAGGTAAGTTACATGAGTCTTATTTTATTTAAATACTTAAAGTCAATGCAAAAATTGGTGTTTAACCTAATTGGCTATAATTTTTTTAGTAAATGGAAGCCATCTGTAACTCCGCCTAACGCATTGACAGTTTACCAGATGATGCGCATAGAATCCTTGTCTTTTTACTGGAATCCTACAGCTACAGCTTTGGATGACAACGAGACAGCTCACATAACACCCATTCAGTATTACAATTGGAAGCACTACATGTTGACGGGACTCGACAAGTTTTCGATGCACCATGAAGATTTTGAGTTCTGTGAGTCGATATTTGTCACTTATTGGATCACTTTGTTTAATACATACGAACTGCGAGAGGCAAATTAAAAGGATATCCGGGTGGTAATCAAAAGTCCTATGTAACTCTAACCAGTATAATTTTATACCATAGCTTAGTATGATGTGTTACAAATAAAATTTGGATCCTTAAACATATGAGTTAACACGCGATCAAATCGATCTGCATTTTACTTATTCTAAACACGCACACTTACCGTTGATGGATCAGAAATGTACCAATGCATACTTATTACTTATATACGATAATTTTAGGCACCTTCTATTTCAGTGCTGAAGCCAGTGACTTCCAAAATTAAGGTCATCATCAACCGGTCTGGTGAGGCTCGGGTGCCTCGTCTACTATTAGATGCTGTATTGCAAGACAGCGCACTGCAGCTTTCAAGAAGGCAGTACCTGTCGATAGACAACCTCTTATCTTCGTTTGCTAGGATCAAACTGAATAGGTAATGTCTCAAGTATAGGGAATTATTTTAGCGATTTCACCAAAGGTGAAACAGCCACATAAAACTCATAATTTAATCGATTAAGCAATAGCAAAACAATTTTTTGCTTTTTGAAATGTACATAGTTCCTTAGCTACTTGAACTTTGCCAAATTTTTTTTTGTTCACAATATCAGACCCAAACAAATCATTTGCTTGATATATATTTCCAGAAAGTATCGGCATCTCCGCCCAGGTGTTGCCCTTTCTAAGGACATTAAGAAATGGTGGCATTACGCATACAATGTTGTGGTAGAGCAGAGAGTGCGGCCTTACACGTGGGCTGCGGTAAAGAAACATAGGGAAAACTACAATGTCTACAAGAAGATTTACAAGAGCACCCTTCGGAGCCCCAACGATACAGAGTTGAAGATGGACTTGCAGAAATGTGAAGATAACTTGCCGATTATATCAGTTGTTATTGCCAGGGAACAGGCCAAGTTTGAGGTGGGGCTTTTATATCTAAGATTAACTTAAATTGCAACTAAAGCTCCTCTCCTTACATTTGAAATTAAAATTTGCCTATGTTTAGCTTTTAGCTCAAGAACCAGAGAGAATTGAAGTGGTAGAAAGTGAATTTGATTGGTGGAAGCCCACCAGCTCAGATTCTGAGAGTGATACCGAAGAGAAGACCCACGTGGAACTGTGCGTTAAAAGTGAGCGATGTAAAAGTCTATGGAGTCATCTTTCTAGCCCAGAGAAGAAGAAGGTTTGTGAACTAATTGGATTCGTGGAGGGAGAGAAGAGGCCTGACAAGTCGAAGCAGTATATTGGTGAGTTAAACTACTTTAATGACCTCTGGTGAACTCCATTAGTACCTAATACAATAAAGTAGTGCTTTCATAGAAACCACTTGCTTCTGAAAGTAAGAGTGCTAGGCCTTCCATTATCTGTATTTATGACGGCTTTAATAACTAAGTACCGTAAAAGTGATATAAAACTACTGTTCCCAATGGTCCGAAGAACGCAGGACTTAGGGAAGACCTTCTTAGGCGGTATTATTTTTGCCCTAGAATAGAAAATTATATATGTAATGTGTAATTGCTTTTGTATTTGAATACGAGTAATCTGTAATTATGAACATTATTCTTAGTTTAACCAAAGAAATAACGTAAACCTATTTATCTTGACTGGTATTATTTTCATTACAGAACACAAACTAAATCTAACACTGGCAAATTGTTCTTTGACACTGATGAATCGCAGTAAAGAAGTACTGGTTGTTACTTTAACGCAATTCTTAGCATCATTGGAAACTAGACCATCAGCAAAGGCATATAAGGTAGATCCCATTTTTAATTAATAATTATTAACGTTTTAGGAGCTTTACTTACCCAAATCATGTTCAGTATAGAAAAATCATCAGAGAATAATGTCTACGAATCCTAGTGTTCTTTTCCATAGTAAATGTTTTGAAGATTTTTAATGAATAATTTAATAACTATGTTGTTCAGCTACGTATCAAATAAAACTAATAACCACTATCCTCAGTTGTCAGCCAGAGCTGAAAGCATTGTAGTAGAAGGTGCCACATCAGACGGTGAACTCGTCCCGCTACTGAGCGCTGAACGAACCCAAACACCAACCAGTGCCAACATCTTAGCAGTGGACTACGAAAAAAATCCATGTAGCATTGTGGATGCTGACTACGGACTCTGCATACTGATGGAGCCAGTGGAACTAGTGTACATTGAGGTAGGGAACAATATTAGTTATTTTATTGTAAATATTCGTGAGTCTATTGACTGACTTGTTAATGTTATTGAATTCAATGAAATAAAAGTAACAAGAGCTAATGAAATGTTATCTATCATAATTTACTGAGAAATAAATATTTAAAATCACGCTACGACAAGGAAAGAAATATTCTATTTCTGCGCAAACGTTCCATAGAAGTGATAAGGAGAAGAGTCCTCATTGCAACCCGCTCACATATTTAAAAATCTACTGTGCTCTATAATATTGCTATTTTTTTACATTGACAGCTACAAACTTGTGTTCGATTCTTAAACACCTGGTGTTTGTCTTCCGTAAGCCTATCTATTAGGTCAGTTTAAGCTAGTAATGAACAGCAGCCTAGTGTAGTAACAGTATAGTGCAACTACTACACTGTCACTACACTAATTTGTAATAACAATAATAAACTAAATAGTCTGTGAATTTTTATAATTTTAGAATCTACAGTATGAAATTAGGTTTATATGTTGTATAGTTTTAGAATATATAGTATGAAATTATGTTTATATGAGAACTTCACATAGGAAATTCACTTATACATTTAAATTTATTAGAAAAATCGGTGACGTTATAAACGAAATATATGAGATGCCTTGATGCCTATCACGCACGTGCACCGAAAATTGATTTCCACCCTTTGGAAGAAACTGTATGCACAGACATGTTATGGGTCACAACTGAAGTTAATAACTGTTATTACCACATGTCTAAACAAATAAAGGTTTGACTTGATTTCAAAAGTCCATTTACAATGTTTGTTAACTAACATGTTCGTTATTATAATTTATCATTTTTGCAAAAACCGCTTAAAAATCCACTTTGTCGTTGGTACTCTCAGGTATCCAATCGAGTACTAAGAACAATTTTTTAATAATTTTTCATTAAGAATAACATGTTTGTAACGGTTGTCAGCATGCGTTCACGGAGCTGATAAATTTCTTCCAAACCCGGTCGATGTCGCCGGAGGAGATGGCCGAGGAGGTGGCGGCGGGGGCGGCGCGCGCGGGCCGCGTGGGGCGCGCGGTCGCCGCGTACGCGGTCACCCGCCGCAAGCTGTTCCACGTCAACGTGGACCTCAAGGGACCCTGTCTGGTACTACCCGAACACGGATGCGTGCACAAGTGAGGACTCTTACTCGCATTCAGTGATGACCTAGGGGTGTAGACATGTTTTGTATTAAATTTTGAAAACATCCCGCGTAAACGCCAACTTCTGTCATGGCGTCGCTATAACGTCACGCCCCAAAACAAATATCGCTCTATGTACGTGTTACGCTTGAAGGGCGAAGTCTTTCAATGAGCGTGAAAATAAGCGTAAAAAGAGCGTTCTGATACGAGTAAGAGGGGCGTGACGTCATGCGCTGTTTGCGGTCACGTGACAACGATTATAAAATAATTATTTTTTAATAATTAATTTAAGCAGTATTATAAATATACTAATCATAAAAGTGTAATTATTGGTAATAGTATATTAAACTCTACGAGATAAGAGAAAAATATTAATATGTATTTATTTTTGTTTACTGTTTACGCCCGTATTTGATCAATTTTGCCTTCACAATGCTATATTGACATTGTAATCTTAACTTTTGAGACTAGCAGAATTTAAAAACCTTAAAAAATTATATATAATTAACATTCCCTCAGATCTGGACGCGTGGTGGTTCTGGACATCAGTCGAATTATAATAAAATCAGATTTGCAGCCGTCGAACTTAGCTCTTGAAGATGCCACTTGCATGGAACTCGAAGAGCGCTTGTATGACAGATTACATGCGGAATGTAACTTCCAGGTTAGTTGCAAAATTAAGTAATTCAATAAAAGGAAATGAAGTTCTATAATGAGCACAACAATAAAATTCAGAGGATAAAACAGACCAAAAAAGTAATGTTTATGAGATTTAAAGTAGAAATAATAGTACTTTGTATACAAACATAAAATTTCATTCACCTAAACTAGGTCATTCACCTCAACTAGGTGAATTAAATTTACCAGGAATAAACTCTTATATTGAGGTGGAGGAAAAAGTAAAACTGCACTAAGCATTGGAAATTTAGATTGATGAAACAATTATAATGTGCCAGGTTCTGTTTTGTGAATGGGACGAGCCGTGGCGTGAACAGCGCAAGCACGCAGATTCAGAGTTACATCTTATACCGAAGATTAAGGCACAAGTGGTCTTCTCTAACAGTATCAAAAAGGATTATAAACTATTGCCGAGGTGCGTAATGCAGATCTTTATGTACATATAATATAAAGCAAAAGCAGCTGAAATGGCTAGCGTTGAAGTTTAAACTTTAAACTAAATGTCGGAACGTGTGATAAACTAAATATCTTTTGATGTGCTAGGAATCAGACAGTATTTTTAAATGTATTTGCTGATAACAAATTAGCAAAATGTATAAAATCTGAGTAATAAACTTATTTTGTGCCTCAAGTCGTAATTGGTAAAAAAAAACGATTATTGTGTAAAGTGTTATTTTTAGGTGTGTTATTCCGTACCCAGAAGGTATTTTTTTTTTATGTCATGCCTATATGTATTAATGTTAATATTCATTCACATCAAATTTTACAATTATGCACTTGTCAGTCTCCCGTTACTGCTTGATCTCCCACACCGCCTGGTTGGCTGGAAGAGATCTCTTAAAGAGATAAGCCCACCCTTGCTTGTGATTTACATACTATTGTAATGTTAACTTTGTTTTTTGTGCCTATAAAGAGTATTAATAATAATAATAAAAAACGGGAACCCTATTGTCTGTCACCAGACTATATTTCATTAACCTTGAAAGTTAGACAGTTGAAATTTTAAAGATGATGTATTTCTGTTGCCATTATAACAACAAATACTATCAAATATAATAAAATTTATATTAAACGGGGCTCTTATACAATAAACTTGTTTTTTTTTGCTCGTTGTCGGTACGGAACCCATAGTGCGCGAGTCCGACTCACATTAGGCCGGTTTTATTACATCATCGCGCAAAGAAAATTATAGATTTTTGAAGCAATTGATAAAGGTTAAGGAAGTAAAAGAGATGTGTCAGGATCGTAACAAGCTGAAATCAAAATTGTCTCGGCTTCTGACTGAATTAATTATTTTCTTTTTTAGATATAAACTGAACATATCCTTGTCGAGCTTGAAGCTAAATCTGTCGGATCGAATCATCAGCCTTCTATTAGACTTCTGCGACAATTTACCAGTGCCAGTGCCTAACACAGTGCCAGTGTCATTCATGGATTCGGGAGATTACGTGGAAGACATTGAAGACCCTGAACTGATGGAACTATTCCAATTGGATACGGTGAACGCCGACCCTGGGTATAAAGAGTTAGTCAATCTAAGGCAGAAGATTGTCAATGCTTACTTGAGTCGGCATAGGTGAGTATCGAAGTGAATATCTTAATATTAAAGAGTTTAAATTACACATGAAATATGTAATTAATCTACATTAATAAAGAATTAGAATGTTCTTATACAATAACATTATTTACGTATTATTTAGAAGCGACTTCACTGAGTTGAGATTGGCGAAATTTTTGTTTAACTTTTATAATTTTTACACTCATTGGAAGGTGGTTTCATTAATGAATAGTATGTCAATATAAAAGAACCTTTTTTTAACAAATTAAGCTCAGTAAAGTATTATTTTCACTTAATATTTTATCCATAGGGCCGCTGAATCTACATTTGACAAGGCCGGTGCGCGTTTAGGTTTCCAAGAGTCGACGCAAGCTTTCGTATCATCGGAGCACAGTGACGAAGACATGGAAGTTTACGCAAGATCAGTAGACCTTCCCGGGTTCGACGACAATGTATCACCGAGTAACAATATCAATATGTTGCTGAGGTTTATTATCGGTATGTAGCTATACGTGTTCTTTTGGAAGTAAATATATTTCTAAAGTCCAATGTGGACTGTACTAAAGATGAAATAAGTGACTCGAGTGGAGAAAGGGACAAGTGTAATATACCTGATGGAACAGTATGAAATAGCACTAGTGACAAAAATACTATAGTAGTTTGTACTGAGAAGAAGTTCGAACAACAGAACTGTACGAAAAATATATCTTTAGAATATAAAGTCAAACCATACATATTGTCAAATTGGATAGGCCATGACAAACTGTATCATACATTTTTGTTTCAATCAGGAGAGGTAGTCATAAACCTGTCCCGGTCGACGGACCAGGTGGACCGTCCGTACATAATGTTGAACGTCAGCAAGGTCTGCTTGGACATAGCGCTGATGCAGTACGGGCCCGCAATCCAACTGTCCATTGGTCAAGCACTCCTCACTGATAAACAGCATCACAGCAGTACTGGACAGTATCTGGAGCTGTTCACCAGTTCTGGCGAGCTGTTTAATTTATTGTACCGCAAGGTGAGGAAACATATTAACCTCTGTATAATGTTTGAAGACAATAATTAAAGAATAATTTGTTTAAATTTATCTTACTGGAATTAAATTACGAGAGATGTTAAAAAAATTGTATACATAATTATAATTTTTGGGGTTCTGTTTGGTTTAATATTTTTCAATGCTATTTTATCTTTTGATCAATAAAAATATAATTCTCAAATATTTTGTTTATAAATACTTGTACACAGTAGCGGCGGCGCCCCTTTTTGTCCGGCGCTTCTTTCTGATTCTGTATAATGAGGAAGCATTTTAAAAAAAAACGAAAGCACTACAAAAATACCTCCACCTAGATGGCGACTCTAGCAAAAGTTGATTTTTGCAGGAAACGAATGGAACAAAGACAGTCATTTCCGTTCATTTTAACTAACATATTAAAAAACTGAAATTTGAAAAGTTCGAAACTTAGATATCAATATAAATACGAAAAAGTACAAATAGAATATGAGTTGTTAATTGAGTTTTGAAAACTAATTTACTTTTAAACATGAAAGAAAACTGGAAGGGTTGTCATGGAGAAATCAAGAACATACCGTAGCGACATCTAGTTTGATTTCGGGAACTAATGTTTTTTTTTTCTTATACTTCCTCATTTCCCACAGACGCCCTCTTATAGTTTCCTTGCTCATTGAACAAGGCCTACTGGGTCGGCGAAAAAAGAACATGAACCTTGAGTTTTTTTTTTATTTTCAAATTGCCTCACTTTCAGAATGCATGAATTGAAAGGAAACTTAACAAAAAAATATATTATATTATGGTAAAACAGAACAACACACCGATTACCAATATGAAGATATGTATTTTATGAGGTAATATGACGTACATTGGTGGGCATTATCGCTCGGTCATTTAAGAAAATTTTCGTTTGAGCATGTTTAAACGTTAAGCTGAAGCTAAAATGCTGCAATACAAACGAATGCATCGGCAGTGGAGCCTCTGTCTGGCAAGTCAGATGGAATAGCTACTCAAAAGATTGTGGATGAAAAATCCCGAAGTAAGGGAGCAAGTTGTGCTATGATTACAGATGCTGCTCAGGATAAATCTTTTATTGATGTACAACAAATACCTGTACTAGATGATTTTGATACTGTTGTCCCGAATATAGCGGATCCAGCTACTTGTCCACTTATTTGAAATAGCAAAATAATTGATAATATAATAAGTAGTGGCCCACTGCAAACTTACTGTCACAAAGTTACAATAATTACACAAAGTTATAGATAACAATTATGTGACACCCTGTTAGGGTAAAATTGAATCTGTACTTACCTAATGATGTGATCCGTCAAAAATGAATCAGCTACTTATACGCTATTTATATGTCTACGTTTTAAATAAAACTAATGTCACTATATAGTTGGAACAAGAACATCGTAACGTAGCGTTAAACGTTTGATTACTGTGTTTGTTTGTTTTAAAATAATCGAATAATTTTTTTAAGAGCGTCCACTTATATCGAGCAAGAAGATAATAGTTGATTGTGTTTTTCTTCGTCAAAAATTAAAAGAGATAGATCTAGGGAATTCCCGATTATAGAAAAACACACATTGGACGCTCTTAAAAAAATCATTATCGAATAATTTTTTTAAGAGCGTCCACATATGTCAAGCAAGAAGATAAATGTTGATTGTGTTCTTCTTCGTCAAAAATTAAAAGAGATAGATCTAGGGAATCCCCGATTATAGAAAAACACATTGTTTCCGTATGATCGGAAAGTCGGGGATTCCCGAGAAATTAAACCGATTGAACACTACGTTCCATTCTAATGCTGCCAACTTAACAATCTACCTAAAAGGGAAAATTACAAGTAAGTAGGCAGGGTCGGCGAAAAAAAGACTAGTAATTGATTTGTAGTATGTAGTAGTAACTGATTGTAATTGAATTGCAGTTAGAGGGCGCCGAAGAAATTTCGCCCAGGGCGCCAATAGTGCTAAAACCGGCACTGCTTGTACACTGAAGAAATTGAAAACATTGTTCATGCCTTTTTATTCCTCAATGGACTTGAAAGCGTTATGATCACAATTCGTAATCCTAATATATCCAGATTTCATTTTGTTTGCCATGTTTTTTACCTTGTTTCTCTATAAGTAAAACTGTTTAAACTATAATTCTAATTGATTTGTTTGTCGGTATTTATTATTTATAGGTTCGCGCCGATTGTCCAGAGTTTCGGTCGCACTTTCACAGCGTGGAGCAATCACTCGTGTTGGACACTGGACCAGTGTCACTATTGCTGCATGCGCTTGCGCTTAATACACTCATCAAATATCTGCAATACATGGTTGACAAGTAAGTATTACCACAATATTAGTCAACATTCAGGAATTCTTGCTTTTGAGATCTGGGTTTAACGGACTAGTGAGTAATAAAAAGAAGAGGATTTCTTAGGATACACACACACGTACACTAAAACATATTAACAATTATGTTATCCTACATTGTTAAATAATTTTAACAGAATACAAAATCGCCACGCTCTAAATGTAAAGAAGATAGTGGTGCCCAAGACTGCCTCCTTGTGGAACTATTTGATGAAGCCAGAATCAGATCCACCTGTGCCATCTGGAGCTACTAAGTTTAGTTATTCAGTCAGGTATTGGTTATTACTAACTTATACAAAATTACGTAAGATTAGAACCCCTTATACAGTACACCATTATTAATCCGCTTTACTCCTATTTCCAGGGCATCTTCAATATCACTCAAGCTATGCCACTTGGACTGCGCTCTACTAGAGATGCGCCTATCAGGGTTGGAGAGTGATTGTGTGTTTAGAGCCAACGATCGTTGCATTTTCCGCCTTTATCTCAGCTCCCTCCACATCGACGATATGTCTGATGCCACTTTATACCCCAAGGTACTTTATTTGTGATCTATACAAATATGAACAATAATAGCAGACATTCTTTGTGTACAAACTCGAAATAACCCGCAGCTTTTATAATAAATTAAGTCGTTTAAAAAATGGCACATGCGGCTGCACTTCAGGGTGCCACATTATATCACTCCAGTTAATTTTAAACTCTAACCTCGATATATTAGAGTTTATTAAGTGGAGAAATTTATTTGTATAACCTGAAGTGCTGACTGTACCTAATTGTTTTAATAGACAGAGTTGGTGACAAAAATGTACAAGACTTCTGTGACTTCAGTATGTAGAAGTGCTAAGATTTCTTATCATTATGTGGTGGTCAACAAAGACGCCATGTACTTATATGACATCTTCAGCTGCAGATGATTATTAACTCTTTTGGCCGATGGTGAATCAGTGATTGCAATCATATATGAAATTGTTTAGTTGGTGTGGCCGGATGAGGACAAAGTGCTGGAGATGAAGTATGTACGGGCAGCCCCCAGGTACTATGGGGACGAGAAGCAACTGAAGGCGCATGGGGAACTGCGGATATACGTGGGGAGGCTACACGTCGTCCTCTTTTATTGTATACTGCATCACCTACAGGTGGTTATTATGTTCTACGTGGATATTATTTATTAATACTATCAGTCGACTTTTAAAATAAAATTTTCTTGTTATTGGACATAAGTAAATATAATCTACCTATATATAAAAATGAATCCCTTTTTTTCTTGGTCACGTCATCATACGTGAACGACTGAATCGATTCCGCTAATTATTTTTGTTGTTGCGTTTGCTATTGTCAGAAGGTTCTTATGAAAGAAAAAAATAAGAATATTGCGTCGAAAATTTTAACATTTAAGAATATTTAACCACCATATAAAATTATTTCTAATCTAACCTTAGTGTTTTGCGCAATATGAACTTTTTTATGTCATCTTATGACTTTTGACATAGAAAACATGTTTTTTCACATGGCCAGTTATATGTCCCCTGTTCCAGTATACCAACAACCAATACCAACAAAACTATTTATGTAGGTACGCGCAAGAAAAAAAAATAAGAATTCAGTATATCATAGAGCATTTGAATAATAAACACTTTTTTTTTAAATATTATTTAATTTAGTTATACCAATTCGTATTCAATATTCAAAATTAAGACAGGACAACATCTGTGGGGTAAATTAATAATGCAATAGTTACAATGATTGTTTGTCGCAACAGCAATTCCTGGAGCCTCTGATACCGAGTTCGGCGGCAGGGGAGGCTGCAGCGGCCGCTGAACGTACTGCACACAAACACGCTGAGGGACTGAGGACTTATTCCGCGAGAATTAACTTGGTCATTGAGGTGACGATCTACTTACGCTCTGTTTAATATATACTTACCTAAATAATGGCTATCGTTGTTGCTAAGCAATTTTCGCAAGAGTCAGTCACGGGAGGGGTGACCAAAAAATTATTATCTCAAACTACTTCGTGTTTCTGAGGGCACGTTAAGCCGTTGGTTTCGGCTACATTTGCAGTCGTTGATACATTTCAATCCGCATTTTGCCAGCGTGGCGGGTTATGGCCCATCCTCATTAACCATCCATACGGAAGGCTTGTATCCCTGCAGTGGGCTTATGATAATGATGTTTGTTAGACCTGTCCTAATGACAAAAATAGGAGCGATGGTAACGATATCGCGTAATTCGGTCGAGGATTGCTGGAAGACCAAATGCGCTAGCCAGTACGTCTCGATGGCTGCCTCAAATAAAATAGGAAACTGTTTAACAAAATTGGTTTTATGTCTAATATTCTGTTACATCTAAAGGTTTGTTCAACTTACGCCCAAGTTTTTGTGTGTATCACAGAATTTTGTGGGTAGTTTTAAAATACTTAACAATTTTTGTAAGTTTAATGTTTTACAGATACATGCTCCAGTTTTGCTGTTGCCCCAAAAGCCGTCATCTCCCAATCTTTTAGTACTGAACATGGGTTAGTTAGTTATATTACTTAATAGATCGTAACCTAATTAAATATATGTTGTATTAAAATATAATTTTTGCTTTAGGTGATTTGACGATTGAGAACTTTTTTAAACAAGTGAATACCGGCCAGGATGTGAGCAGCCCGGGGCAGGCTCCCGTCATCGACAATATATTGGTGAAACTCGTGAACGTAACATTGTCTCGCGCGGTGATGACCCTTGCAGGCACGCTTGAAGTTCAAGTTAGTTATCAATATCACATTAATTGTAACAAACGACTTGTTCAGAAACTTTTGTGCTCTTAAGACCAATAGTACAAATTGATAAAAGATCTACTATCTACTATCAATAACTATGTAGAAACCGTAATGTTGAAGGTGTGTTCCAACTCGATGACGGAGACGACTGGCAAGGTAGACTAAAGGGTAATTGTCTCCCTCCGAGCTAGGTGAATTGGTTATGTTACTTATTGTGGGAGATGTAGGTTTCCTTTGTTCTAAATGACTAAATGAAGTGGTGCAGTGCCATCTCGTTGTTGAGTGATTAAACTTCTTGCAATTCGTCTTGCTACCGATTGTTGTGGCGATGTTAGTGCAATATGCTATATATCGCTACGTATCAGTCGCCACAAATAGTATAAAGTCTTCTCTGCCTCTGTCCTTTAGAGTTATCAATCTTGAATTAGTAATTTTTAATAGAAGTAAATCCCTTAGCTACAACTTCAGTTCGAATGATAAAGTATAAAATCAGTATCTAACATGTTCATATCTCTTTCGTATTTGTAGATAAAAATGTTATACAAATTGAGAGTTGTACTTTTAAATAAATATATTGGTGTTTTAATACAAATATTTTTTTAAGGAGCCAATCATAGAACCTATTTCGGCTCGCTGTGATTTGAAACGAGCTGTCGGATATACACAACTGGCCGGTTGTACTTCTAACCGCGAGCTTTTAGCATTAGAAGCAGATGTTCTTCTGGATAGTGTTCTTCTCAATATCGGTCAGAAAGATTTAGCTACAATTTTAGCTGTATGGAGTGACAATCTCAGTGAAGCAAACTATATTGGTTAGTATACAAGTAGGTTTATTAAATATATATCACGACCGTTATCGACTTTCTATTCGAAATCGACTATGTTTTTTATTTCAGGAAGCATAGTTCCAAGTTCCCCGGTAGAAACAGCTCCGACGGATGTATCAGTTAAGAAGTTGCAAGCGTTTTTAGCTCAAGGTGAAGCCATTAGGAAAGAAGCAGTTTTAAGGTGCGTTTAGATATTTAAATTACTATTCAAGCAGTCCTCGGTTTTACGTCATCTTAGGTAGCAGAGAACAGTGACGTACAACGAAACGACTTAAAAATGAGATACATTTGTAGGGAAAGTTGTACGTAGGTTCTTAAAAATGAAAAAACACGGTAAAGAAAAACCAATCACTTTTATCATGAAGAAAACAACATTCTAACATACAGAAACAGGACATTTGCGTGGTTTTTTTTTCGTAAAGAAGTGCTCTACACGCAATTGTTTTTCTTCTTTCTTTCTGTTTTCATAAATTTCTCGGTAGCATTTATGATTCGCTTCAAAGCTCCTTTTCAAGTTGAGATCGTTATGGCGTTCCTTCACTGCCACTATTTTACAGTTATATTTTCGTGGTCTTTCTGTGATTGCCTACAACGCGTTGTGAGCGTTTTCATTTCAATAATTCAAACTAATCTTAAACCGTTAAAATAAGGAATAGTGTCAAAATGTTGACTGCCGTGAAATGAAAGGATGTAAAACGAAGAATGCCTGTCGTTCATTCATATACATTGTTATTTGAATTATGACCTACTTAGTTATTTAATGATATGGTTATACTTTCATCATATAAACTAACTATAGAGAAACGTTTCTCAAGTAAATTGAAGATATATCTGAAAAGGTCAAATGTATAAATGTTTCTGTATGTATTTATATGTATTTTGGATTGATAGAAGTCGATGAAATAAACATAATAACAAGATAATGATATTATATTCCATGAGGAAAATTCTTATACTCATATCCAGGTTCACACTTGAAGGAGTGGAGCTGAAATTGTTTACGGACATGGACGAAGTTCTTAGTTCACCGGTACGCGACTTGAACCATGGTTTGGCTAAACTAACTGCCGGTGAAGCCACGATACAATTGGATTACTATTCTGACGGTAGCACTGAACTGCGAGCTAGTCTGCAGAGCTTGCTCATAGAAGATATAAGACCGGACCCTACCATCGTTATAAGGAAGTAAGTCTGTATTCCATCGACTACTTAATTAATTATTCGTATTTTCGTCTATTCAAAAATAAGTTTTTCATATAAAAAGAATATAATTTTACCGGTTACGTACTTTGATGAATTTTGTAGGATACCGATATTTATAAGGCAATCTTGCTGTTGTATACTTTGATTTCTTACATCCGTTTCACATATAAATTCCATAATTTCTTTTGAGCAATACATTGATCGAGCTCAAGGGACTCATATTGTCGTGGTTGCAAACTAATTTAATATATTCGTGGATTTGAGGCCATCAACATGATTTTTCTGTCAATATAGAAGTGGGGAAAAAGTCGTCGCTAGAGTTCTTACTGTTCTTTTTGAAGTTTACGATTTAGGTACCTACAAAGTCGGTTGTCTAACAGAGACCATTATCTCGGGCAGGATCTTCCAGTGCCAGGGCGGCGCGACTCGTGCCTCGTGCGGCATCAGCGTGCGCCGGCCGCCGCTGATCGACTGCAGCGTGCGCGTGGCGCCGGCGCGCGCCGCGCAGCTGGACGTGCGCGTGGACCGCACCCGCGCCAACCTGGCGCCCGCCTTCCTGCTGCAGCTGGCGCGCACGCTGCTGGACGCCGTGCCAGGTCTACTGTTTGCATATGTCTGCATATATATATACTGCAGCTGGACGTGCGCGTGGACCGCACCCGCGCCAACCTGGCGCCCGCCTTCCTGCTGCAGCTGGCGCGCACGCTGCTGGACGCCGTGCCAGGTCTACTGTTTGCATATGTCTGCATATATATATACTGCAGCTGGACGTGCGCGTGGACCGCACCCGCGCCAACCTGGCGCCCGCCTTCCTGCTGCAGCTGGCGCGCACGCTGCTGGACGCCGTGCCAGGTCTACTGTTTGCATATGTCTGCATATATATATACTGCAGCTGGACGTGCGCGTGGACCGCACCCGCGCCAACCTGGCGCCCGCCTTCCTGCTGCAGCTGGCGCGCACGCTGCTGGACGCCGTGCCAGGTCTACTGTTTGCATATGTCTGCATATATATATACTGCAGCTGGACGTGCGCGTGGACCGCACCCGCGCCAACCTGGCGCCCGCCTTCCTGCTGCAGCTGGCGCGCACGCTGCTGGACGCCGTGCCAGGTCTACTGTTTGCATATGTCTGCATATATATATACTGCAGCTGGACGTGCGCGTGGACCGCACCCGCGCCAACCTGGCGCCCGCCTTCCTGCTGCAGCTGGCGCGCACGCTGCTGGACGCCGTGCCAGGTCTACTGTTTGCATATGTCTGCATATATATATACTGCAGCTGGACGTGCGCGTGGACCGCACCCGCGCCAACCTGGCGCCCGCCTTCCTGCTGCAGCTGGCGCGCACGCTGCTGGACGCCGTGCCAGGTCTACTGTTTGCATATGTCTGCATATATATATACTGCAGCTGGACGTGCGCGTGGACCGCACCCGCGCCAACCTGGCGCCCGCCTTCCTGCTGCAGCTGGCGCGCACGCTGCTGGACGCCGTGCCAGGTCTACTGTTTGCATATGTCTGCATATATATATACTGCAGCTGGACGTGCGCGTGGACCGCACCCGCGCCAACCTGGCGCCCGCCTTCCTGCTGCAGCTGGCGCGCACGCTGCTGGACGCCGTGCCAGGTCTACTGTTTGCATATGTCTGCATATATATATACTGCAGCTGGACGTGCGCGTGGACCGCACCCGCGCCAACCTGGCGCCCGCCTTCCTGCTGCAGCTGGCGCGCACGCTGCTGGACGCCGTGCCAGGTCTACTGTTTGCATATGTCTGCATATATATATACTGCAGCTGGACGTGCGCGTGGACCGCACCCGCGCCAACCTGGCGCCCGCCTTCCTGCTGCAGCTGGCGCGCACGCTGCTGGACGCCGTGCCAGGTCTACTGTTTGCATATGTCTGCATATATATATACTGCAGCTGGACGTGCGCGTGGACCGCACCCGCGCCAACTTCTGGATGCCGAGCCATGTTTGCCATTTGGAAACCAATTATCCTTCTTCTGTTTTCTTACTTCAAACGAAACGAGCGTAGTTTATATGAGGAAGCTAAGAACAGATATAGTTTTCCGCAGATTATTTAGTGTCCGTTCGTGCATCCTTTGGGTGCTCTTTCCTAACTAATAAAACACTTTTGAAATCATGTAAATCAAAATCTAAGTAATGCCTTTATTTTTCTTAACTTTGATAATTGTTATATCGGTAGGAGATAAAGCGATGGAGGGTGGTGTAGTGAACCACGGGTATGTGAGCGAGCCGCCCTCCAGCCGACATACTGCGAGACCGCCCTCCTGCAGCGAATCCAGCGGATACTATTCGGCAGGTAATATACCCTTGTTTAGTTACAGTTAGTTAAAGTTGAGTTATAGATACTTCCTTTCTCTGTTTTTGTTAAAGGGCTTTTAAACGGGCAATGTTTTATGTCAAATAAAGGCTTCCTTATCAGCAACTTTTTGCCTAGCCATCCCAGAAAATTAAATTACAATATCGGCCATATCAAAAATGTTTGGCTATATTGGCCGGGATATTACTGCAATATTCCACAATCTTACTGGTTTTTCTTGCAATGTTGCCAGCCATTGTATTGTAGTTTTGCCCTTAACTATTGCCCGAGAACTGTGGACTTCAAATCTCATGGCTGGTCATTCGTACGTATAGTTATAATCTATATATTATAAAAAGTCTATATATAATCAAATGTGTGACTTGATTTTTCTTTAGCGACGTCAATAGCCGAAGAGACCCCTGGCTTATCCATATCGATTCAGTTTCGCCAGCCTGAAGTGATGTTTTTCACGGATAAAAACGAAGGTCACGCTCTACTGCTGCGCGGTGAACTGATGATAGACTACTCCAGCCACTGCAGCTCTGAGAATCTGGTGGTCTCCTTGGCTGGACTACAGGTGAAGTATTATAGTTGCAGAGCAAAACGTTTTATGGATTTCATTTTTTACTGATTAGAACTAAAAGTAAGGTAAACTCCGATAGAAGTCGGAATGTGACTTACTTAGGAAATGATAAGAAATTTGACTTTATGACATGTGTATTCAGTAACTGTTTTCAAAATCTACTTAATGTATTTATTCTTCCATGATGTTGTGTATAAAAACTAAATCAATGCTTCAGCATTAGTAACGATTGTTATCATGAGTAAAAAATCAAAAAAACATAAATATACGCAGGTATTTATCGTAATACGCCGATATTTTAATCTAACGGTTTTTAATATAAAATTCAGGATCAACTATTTGCGTTCACATTTAAATTAAAACGGTGCTTTAATTTAAATGTGACAGGAAGTTCTTATAGGATTTAATTTTTTCATATATATGATTATTTGACTTTCGCAGGTAATGTCAAAATTGCAATCGAAGTTGAAGAATCTGCCTCCGCAGCCGGTGCTGAAGCCGTGCGATGTGGAGTTCTCCAAGAGCTTCAAGAATGTAGAAGAAGGAGTAAAGGTGAAACTAACAGTATCAGAAGTGGAAGTGCACATAGCGGCCACTACAGTACACACTGTCTTGGGTAAATATAAGTTCAAGGAGAACAATGTAATTCCAATATTCAATTAAGCTATTTAACGATTAGATGAAAGTATATTGATAAACAAATAAAATTTACTTAAATTTATAAGAAAATATTTCAGTCTTATAATACTTTGGTGATTATTCTTTCAGATATTGTCGAAGAAATAACAACAGAACTGACAATGCCAGATGAAAAGGAACTATTTAATTTTGCGACTTATCTTCTCAAAATGGAAAAACAAGATGAAGATCTATGGTCTCCTAAGAAGCTCACTCATCCATACGTAATGTTAAACACGGAAGATAGCTACGTACAGCCTCCTTATCCTAGTGTGAAGCCCTCCGAAACGCTTTTAGTCACGATACCAAGCATCAAGATATTATTGGAAATAGAGCATACCGAGAGAGTGCCAGTGTTAATGATGAAGGTGAGAAAACAAAACGATTAATTGATGACTTTATTTTGTTAGAAGCCTAACTTATGAATTCCTTTATTGCACACTTTTGTTTTTTTTGCATATTCTAGTCTTTACCTTTACAGCTGTAAACGCATACATTCTTAATATGAAAGTATCTGAAATTAAGATCTTCAAACAAAAGTTACTTACCAAATTAATAAAAAAGGAACGAATTCAATTAAAAATATTTTGATTTCTATCGTTTATTAATTGGACTTGAAGGTGGAAATTTTGAAAAATTATACTGTTTAACTACACATTTTATAGATTTAATTCCACATAATCTCTGACCTAGTGGATATAATATATAATATCTCTAATGTTGTCCCCTATGTAGCTATCAAGCGAGCTAACGTTACACGATTGGTCGCGGCAGTTACATGGTAACGCATCTCTAACGGCAGCCGCCAGTTGCTATAATGAGCGGCTTGATGTTTGGGAACCACTGATTGAGCCAGTAGTAATCAATGAGAATACCCAACGCCCGTGGGAGTTAACTGCTACTATCTTCCAGGTATTTATAAGATTCGATTAAATAAAAGAAGGGGCCCTTGACACATTCCTGATATTGCATGTAATTCTTCTTCTAGGCGAAAGCTTATCCGATGTCATCCCGACTTGATACTTCATCGCAACCGGATACTGAAGACTTGTCATACTCTGACCATTCGAAAAAGGCCAAAAAGAAAAACGAATTTGAATCCGAAACCTCCGCAGATGAGTGTGATACTGATAATGAGATGACGTTCATAAGGAATCCAAATGGTAGAGAGAACAAACATTACAGCGTAGACTTCGGTGCTGGGAATATGCCTCTACTTGGAGCACTGGATATTGATGAATCTGACTCGGAGAATGAGAACGGTCTAATGGATAAGTTAGCGACGGCTTTTGGCCATATATTTAATGAGTAAGATATTCATATAGAACGCTAAATAAATCTTTGTATTTTTAGATGTATATAAAGTGGAATGTTGATAATAGTAGGGGAGCCCACGATGCTAAATCGGGATTTACTCGAGCGTCATAGAGACCTATTGGGTTGCGAAGCTTAGATGATAACAAAAAAAAATGTCATATAATATACACCTTTTCATCGGTGGGGGAAGCGGCTATAGATTTTTGAAAATGTAAAAAAAAACTGTTGTATGGACATACTCGAGTGCGTCAGATATTAATATCATCCATGTCCTACGCATTTTTAAAAACTGTCGTATGTTAATCTGATCGTTTCCATGATGGGGGTGGTTATACGTAAGGGTTGAAAAAGAAAAAAAAAATTAATCGAGCGCGTCAGATTTTTTGAGGGGATGTCAAGTGTACCTAAAAAAAAGCTCTCATATAATAAATAATCTGACGATTTGGATATGACGCAAACGCGTGACCATTATTAGAATATGCAAAAAAAATCGCCATTTTAAAATACTCAAGCGCGTCAGATTAAGATATATATGGTTCATCTTTATGCCCAAGACGTGATATCTCATAATCTGACGATTATCTGAAGGGATTTACTTAAACTGACACTAAAATATATTTTTTTTAATTTTTTCAAATCATTGAGCTTAATTAAATAGAATAGCACCGGAGTTAGCATGCAAATAAAAAAAGTGTATGTTTTTTTTATGTAAAATCTTATCGATGAATTTTTATTACTTCGGCTTGTGACAATCGTCAGATTATATAGTTTTCGTAATCCTTGAATGATTCCCTTCAAAATAAATAAAAATTAGCTACGCTCGAGAATGTCAAAGTGACGTTTTTTTTTACAACTTTGTAGCCTTCGCCCTTCTTTACGTCACTCTCAAATTGTCAGATTAGAGGTATGTACACATTTTAGCATGTAGCTCATCTTACCTTAATCTGACGCGCTCGAGATTTCCAGAAGATCAATTTTTTTTACTAATCTGATCCTTTGTCCTTGCCGGGCGGCCATTTTTATAGGGCTCATACTTGGTCCAGGTACTTAACTGGGTACAAGGTATTCCCCTGTATATTAATCTGCCGCGCTTTAGTAAATCCCGAAATCCCCGCTTCGGCTACCCTACTATAATATTGACGCACAATTAATATTAAAATTAAATGATAAGTCAACAAGACACGTGTATTGTTTACGATTTGTTTATTTGTACTAGCGATTCAAGTGGTGATGAAGCAAGCAACGACGAAAACTCATCTGCACCAGAGCAAACTGAGGCAGAAGTTAGTGACAATGAGGAAAACGATAAAGCGGTGTCCTTCACAGACGGCGCTCACAAGAGCAAGAAGGAGGTCGAGCATAAAACAGTTACTTTACAGGTTAGTTGGTTTAAAATTGAGTGCATTAAATATGAGTTCCTAGCGAGTATTCTTCCAGATACATTAACAGTTAGTTTTTAAATGGAAATGTTTATTGCCTAATTACCTGACGAAAACGATCACAAAATATTGATATGACTTCTGCAATTTCAGATGGCGTGTTAAACTCTATTCGTTGTTTTTTTTTACTTCTTCTAGACCAGAGGTTCCAAAACAATTTTTTCTTTTGCTGCTACATTTTTACCATATTCTCAAAATGTGCAAAAAAAATATTTAGAATTATTGTAGGGCTAGACATATTACTACAATTTTGTTTCTTAGATTTTTATTTATATAGGAACCAGTTCGTGAAGACAGCGTAGATTCAGGTTTGGAGACAGAAAGTTTTCAAGAACGTCTATGTACCTATATGATCCTGGAAGCGAGACACGCGCTCAACATTACGATAACACCAGCTGGAGCTCGAGCGCTGCTAGCGCTGTCGACTGCTTGCACTGACAGAACTATAGAAGCACTGATAGAAGCCATAGTCACCGCCGAAAAAGGCCTAACATTGATCAATGATATCGGTAAGTGATAAAATAGGAACAAAGACAGTTTACTTTCTACAGATGTTCTTCTGGTTTGAATCTGTAGTAACCAAGCTAGCTAATACACATACCTACACGTAAGCCTGAATCTGAGAGACGGCATTCAATCCACATGGAATACACATATATATTCACTCTATAAAATGATTAAATTTGAAAAAAAAAATCTTAATGGATCAGATAGCAACTCCAAAACTCCGAGAATACTTACTGCCTTTCTCAATAACACTATAAAAAATACTAACTAATATTATTTGTGCAAAAGGACATAGAAATGATATCATTGGATACTTAGTTAATGCTCGGAAAATTATATCTAAAATAATTGAAGACAAAAATCTCTGCCAATAAAATGATTCTACTAAAGGCAACAACAATGCTGGAAGTCAAATCAATAGAAACTGCTAATTATTTTTAAGGTCCTGGTTCTACTGTACATCTTCGAACTTCTGCTGAAACCGATTTGGCGGGCAACGATAGAGTGCTGGCCGTTGCCGATTATGACGTAGATACTAGCAGACCTAGTACACCAGGTAACCCTAAACTATTGGATATTTTTATTTACAGATCCTTAAAATTTTAATAGTAAATTATAATGAAGTCTGACTTTAGGTTGCGACACATCCGCGGCTGATCTCTTGGAAGACGTTATAAAAGAAACTAAATCTGATATAACAGACGTCAGTGAAGATTGGGATTGGTGAGCGATCTTAAACACAATAAAAATAAAACTGTTAGGCTTACATCATAGTCCAAGTATTGTATTGTATAGTATTGATAATGAAAAATATCGATTTTGAAATTGCTAAGAGTAAATTTAGAGTAGATCGCTGTTATCTGCACTTAGTCTAAATTTTCTTCAGAGTTCTCATATCCATGCCGCCCAATTATCACAAAACTACCTTTTTTACAGATGCAAACGACACGACACTTTCAGTCTTACTCTCTTGAAGATTCTCTTGTTTAGAACTCATCTCTTCTTAGTATGCCATTCATCACCATGTTTAGTAGCCCATTTGTTCATCATTATGCTGATTGATGAATGATCAATACGTGTGATACAGTGTCTTCGAGGGTGGTTTCCCAGCGGGTGAGATGTCACCAGCGCACTCTACGCCAGAACCCGCTCGGCTGCTACGCAGACTCACCGAGCTCACTTTGTCCGTGAGACTGCATGACTTACAACATCTAACGGTACTAATTTTATGATATACTATTTCAAAGATAGACATATGATATCAAGAAAATTGTATACGTTTGGACATGTTTCCTAGGTAGCTACATAATATCTAAAGGAAGTTAGGAGAAATTTTGAATAGACGAACTATATGTCCCGCAAGGGATCTCACACAAAAAAAAATATAGATAAATATTATATAAATTTTTCTATTTATGTAGATTTCAGTATTTAATTAAATTAGAAACCCTTTTGAATCATTCAAATGGTTTGACCACATCCAGAACGTGTTTTAGTTGACAATAATAATGGGTGCAAGCATAGATATCGTAAACTAAAGGGGTGCAAGAAACAGCGTTTATATAAAATTATATTATCACCAAATCAATAAATTTTTTAATAAAAATAGTTTTATCCTATCGATTATTCACGAAAGTATTTCTATTTCAACAGATACTTTGTCCACAACGAAACGTATCAAAATTGCATGTGCTCCATCCCAGCAAGAATAACACTCGTTACTACATAGTTGTGGAGAGGACATCCAAATATAACAATAAGAAGATAGTCGTCAGATCTCCATTGCAGGTCAGCTCCAATTAGAGAACATTTTTCTAATTTTCTAATTTTATTATTTTTAAATTGAAATTGTAATTCGACGTACATTTTGGAATAAAGATTACCTACGTATTAAACGTAATATATTTTAATAGATTCGGAACGAGACCTCGTATACTCTAGAATTATTCTACAAGAAGACTGATCTGCAAGCTATCGGGGTCGATCTGATCGGTTCCCTGACAAATCCCTTCGATGACAAGATGAGACTGACAGTGATCGCACCTCAGGACACTTACAACGTGCCACTATATATTGCGTACCACTGCAAATTGTTCCTGTTGCCATCAAACTTTGAGTGAGTTTAAATTTTGATTTGATTTTCGTTAGTACGGGGGAACTGAGTAGAGAATTTGGAGCACAGACTAGTCCTATGGACAGAATGACATAGGCAGAGCGGACTAATGCGGATATATAAATGCTAAGAACTTACTACTCGACCTGCTTTCCGGCAAATGGAGAAGCTCGAGATAAATTACTTTTGGTTATCATTATAATGAATTTACCTCTTAATTTCAGAGCACTTCATTTTTAAATTCAAATTTAATAAGTAGTAAAAGTAAAATCTATTACATATTGTTTGACGTCCCGTCAAAAGAAACTTATAATGGCAGTTGTCTATCAATGCGGTATTGAATTGAGTTAGTTATAAACAAAGTTTCTCGACATACTATGTAGAAATAACTATACAAATATCAATAGTAAGTCCAATTTAATAAGTATTGTAAGTGAAAATTTTAAATATTTGTTTTCTCTATAGATCTTACCAGACCGCTACACAAGGAATCTGGTGGATGGAGCTGGCTAAAGACTTGGGAACTCCTCGCGATATGATCTGCCCCGCCAAGGACGGAGAGGACCACAGAATATTTGCTATGAGGATACTGACAGTTGAAGGTATGAACAAGACAAGCCAAGGGCTAGAATGAATACAAGCTACAAATATGTTCTTTTTTTATTTGTCCCATAACATTTTATCAATATCAAAAAGGCGCGTTTAATAATAGCCCTTCGTGGAAATATTAAAAATGTTACATGACAACTAACTACTGAAGGTTACTTCGACTTTAAAGCTAATTTATTAAATTGAAAAAGCGAGTGATTTCTAATTTTGGTATTAGGGAGCTCCAACTATTCTTTCTCCACCAAGTTAATTTATCCTTCCGTTTTTCCAGGGTGCCAATCTCACAAAGTGACCAGAGCGATCCCCAACTATATGATCCGCGTCCTTCCGCCACTTGCGATATATAATCGCCTACCATACGCCCTGGAGTTGTCATGTTCCGCATTGGATTGGCGAGTGCGCGTGGAGGCTGGCGAGAGAATGCACAACTACACTTTACAGCTGACGAAACCACATCGTCTCACTTTAGATATACATTATATGGGACTGCCGTGGACAGGAAGCTTTACGTTATCACCAGGTATTGAGTTATAAACATACAGGTAATGGAATTTAAGGGTATACTATAATTGATATCATGTGGGAACTGCATCAGTTACGACTCTAGAGCTCTATCAAAAACAATAGTCAACAAATGTACGCAGAACATCGTATAGTTATAGTATTAACAAACTAGTATATATTTGTACTAATTCGTTTTTGCAAAAGTTTGTTTATTTTGATGAAATCAACAAATAACAGACAGAAACTGGCTAGCTTACTTAGATTCCGGATATTGACCGAAGTTCCCTCGAAAACACAAACAGATAAGTCGAAAAGCATAAAAGTCTAAAATTATCAACATTCACAGATGTGAACGAAAAGAATATTAACATGAGTAGCGAGTGCGACAGGGACGCCAACAGACGGCAACTGCTGGTGAGCCTGAAGGTGGAGCGGCAGGAGTGTTGGCAGCTGCACGTGCACGCCCAGCACTGGTTCATAAATAAAACAGGATTACCATTGCAACTTAAGGTAACCGAGAATCGTTGGCAATGCACCTAAATATATAGGTAGAAGTTTACTTAGAACAAAAGTATTTCCTCAACGTTAATAAGTGGAGAAGCATCAGCGAGGCGGCTGTTCGCAATGTGTTGTTTAAAACGTCAGTGTCGTGAGTTCAATAAAAAAATAAACTGTGATATTAAACTCTTATTGCTGTTTCTTGCCTCATTAGTCTCACGTGATCAAAGGTCTCTATTAGGGTGAGTTTCGATTTCGACACTTTCAATTTGGTAGTGGTGTGTCCTTTTTATGCCTCTGCATGGATTCCTGACGGATGACGCCGTCTCAAAATTATGAATCAATGTTTCATCACTAGCAACAATACGTTTCTACGCCAAATCCACTTAGAATCGGTTCCTGACATAACCATATGTTTTTCAACAAGTCAAAGGTAATCGATCGTAAAACGCAATAGGGCTGTAATTTAATTATATATATTTTTTATTAGCTTTACTGAATTAAATATAGTTACAATTTCTTAAGTTTTTCCAGCATTTATAAACCACGAACTTTTGTGCCAATGCTGTTTGTATCTCAGTACTAATGTATCTATATCAGATTCGGGCTTCCTTTGACTTCATATCCACCAGGAGTGGTATGTCCTTGGTGGACGACGCGATGATTGTATGTCAGCAATATTAACATCTAATTTTGAGGCCACCGTTTTTAATATCTTACCTACATCTTTTGAAGAAATTTCTGTCAGAACCGCAATTGCCACGGATGTTGAAAGGGAATCCTACTCTATGGGCTTCAGTCCTCCCAGAGCAGCTCCTCTTGTTCGAGATATTTGTTCTGTTTTGCAAGTCTAGCGTTTTTTTATCGAGATGTTTAATTTTATTATCTTGGTTTTATATTGACTGTTCCATATTGCATTAAATTCCATACTGGCAATTAGTTTAGTTACAAATTCAAGTGACATCTTATTGCCACGGCTATTGGCCTCGTGCAAACAGTACCTAACACTGCAGGGCCAGCACTCGGACGTGTGGCACGAGGTGACGGACGAGCCGCTGCTGTGGCGGGCGGGGGCGCGCGGCGGACGGGGCCCGGGCGGGGGCGGGGGCGGGGCCCGCGGCGGGGGCGCGCGCGTGCGGCTGCGGGCGCACCACTCCGCGTGGTCCCGCGCCGCGCCCCTGGCGGCCGCCGCGCCCGGCCTCGTGGTCTGCGCGCACACCGAGCGGCAGACCAACTACAGGCTTCTGCTCAACGTAACTATACTGACATAATAGGGGCGACGACTAATTTTTATTCGTTCGTCCGTCAGATAGATATTGAAGAATATTCAACGCGTATTTTTTTTGCAAAATCAATAAATTGAGGAGATATATGTTTTGCAATTGGTTATTAAGCGACTTTCGCTATAGTCGATCACAGGATGGGTGACCAAAATTTATTATCTCGAAATCCTCCGTGCTTCGGAAGGTACGTTAAGCCTTCAGTTCCGGCTGCATCTGCAGTCGTTAATGCTTACCGATCCGCACTGGGCCCGCGTGGTGGATCCATGGCCCGTTCTCCCAATTTGATTGGATTTCATCCATAGGGAAGGCATGACGTCAAGATTTTGTACATTCCTACAAAACTGTGACGTAGCGAGCCCGCACCCCTCAAATTTATGCCTATTAAGCTATCTCTTGTTAAATTGTAACAAAAAATACGTATCTAATATTTTTCTTTTATCTGTCTGACGGATTAATAGATTTTTTTTAACCCGGTCATCATCCCTATTGTTTCGGAAAACTGTTCAAGACAGCCGATGTGAGAATAAAGAATGTCGAGCAGGCGAAAGTCGCATGGATGGCAGTTCAAATATTACGGAACGCAATTAGTGGGGAGGGGAGTCTTGTAAAAAATGTTACGATGCATTACAGGGATGGGGGGGGGGGGGGGTATTGTAGCACGCGTTACGATACATTTGTTTTTATTTAAATACAAAAATAGGGATTTAATGTCACCTAAAGTTGGCAAAGAACGCGAGTTCATATCGTAATGAGAACGAGATTTACATCACCGGCTGGTATCTCTTCCTGGCCTATAGAATCTCTCAAGCTGACTAGTCAGTGCAACTGTGCCAAAAAAATGCCAACCACCTTTTCACTGCTGACAAAGGGTTAGGTGTTGAGTGTTACGTAACATTTAAGGACACCCTCCGTGTTCAGAAAAACGTTACGGCACGTAACAAGAGGAGGGAGGGAAAATTGCCTAACGTAATTCTTGAATGGCCCCCCACAAGAGATCCAGAGTGAAAATTACAAATAGATGTATAGAATAGTCGGTTCTATATTAATACAAGCGAGGGTATCTTTACATCACATAACATCACCATTCTTCATCACCTTGTATATCGTTGCTTTGCAAGATACTTTTATCTCGTAATATAAGACCATTATTAAAAATGTAACGAATTTAAAGCGTTGGCGAATTTAAAAATTCTCATAGTAAAATGGCCAAACTATATCGAAGCCAAATTCAGCGACGTCCATATACCACGATACGTCGTAACAGAAACACTATGAGTTTTTTTGAAGATTTCCATTATAGGCCTTCCTTAGTTAATAAAATCATCTTCATTGCGTAATAATGTCTAATAATTTGATCTGCCTGACATAAAAACATCCATGCATACATTTTCACACAAATATGAGCCCTAAGGAAACTGTCAAAGTTACAAACCAACATTTCTACAGGTGACACTGTCCGAACTGTGTCCGCAACTGACCAAGATAGTGACCCTTCTGCCTTACTTCCTCGTTTACAACGACACCAAACGCCACCTCCGCTTCATGGAGGAGAACGAGAAGGCCGACCTGTGGATAGACCTGGCGCCGCAACAGTGCACCCCCTTCTGGCCGCAGACCGACTCCATGATGATGCACTGCAAGTTCCGCGACTCCACTGTCGTCTCGCAACACTTCCCCATTACCAAGAACCATTTCACTGTGCTCAGGATGGATAAAGGAGTAAGTTTCTTGAGATTATTTGACTTCGAAGTCGACGGCTTTCTTAGTTTTATTGAAAAGAATGAGATAGCAAAGTTATAGATAGCTAGCTTTAGAGGCAACGCAACTTCTTCACAAATAAGAGATGCGGTAAAAAAAATCATTTAAAAAATTATAAACTACTTGTTCTAATGGGGCGTTAATTAAATTTTGTTCTAATGGGGCTTCATATGTACAAAACCATATTTCTGCAAATAAAGATTTTATTATTATTATTTGATATATTTATGATTTAGTTGCAATGTCAATTTCATTTCGGTCAGTTGTAATATGGGCACCTAGTTTATGGCTTTAAACATTTATTTTAATTTTTAACTCAGGAATTAGTTCTGTGATAGTAATATAGATATATGGTTCGAAATATGATCAATATGTCAATTATACAAGTTGCACAGATGATCGTCATTATTATCAGACTATTAATGTCCCACTGCCAGTGCACAGGCCTGCCCTATGCGTGTATGGAGAATGGGCCATGAATCACCACGAAGCCTACTGCGGATTGATACCACAATAATCATAATAATACTTCTACTAGGCAATATTTATTAATTGGTAGACATATTTAATTGGTAAACTTCTGAACTTGGTGTATGATTCAGGCCAAATTCCTAAAGACTGGCTAAAGTCCGTCTTCATTACGCTCCCAAAGAAACCTAATGCAAAGAAGTGTGAGGACTTTAGAACAATTAGTTTAATGAGCCAAGTTTTAAAACTACTTCTATCGATTATACACGAGCGCATTAGGATTAAATGTGATGAACAGCTTGGTGACAGTCAATTTGGTTTTAGATCCGGAGTGGGCACTCGTGAAGCATTATTTGCTATACAGGTCTTGGTTCAGAAATGCAGAGATATGCAGCAAGACATTTATCTTTGTTTCATCGATTATGAAAAAGCTTTCGATAGAGTTCTTCATGATCGTTTGCTAGACCTATTAAAAGAAGTAGGTATCGATGACAAAGATCACAGATTTATTCAGGACCTGTATCGTGGTCAAGTGGCCACTGTGAGAGTGGAACGGGATGAAACCAATGAAGTTGTTATCCAAAGAGGGGTTAGACAGGGCTGTATTCTATCACCTATTCTTTTCAATATATACTCTGAAGCTATAATAATGGAAGCGTTGCTGGACCTCGACTGTGGAGTGAAGATCAACGGCCGTAATATTAATAACCTTCGTTACGCGGACGACACAGTCTTAATAGCGTCCACATCAGCTAATCTTCAAGTAATGGTTGAGAGATTAGAGGAATGCAGTCAGGGAGCCGGTCTTTCAATGAACTTAAAAAAGACGAAATTTATGGTCATCTCCGGAAAAGCAGACTGCAATGCCAGCATAAGGGTATCCGGCCAAAACCTAGAAAGGGTCAAGAAATATAAATATTTGGGCACATGGCTGAATGAGGATTGGAGCAGCGAGTTAGAGATAAAAACTCGGATCGAAATAGCGCGTAATGCCTTCAATTCGATGAAGAAAGTCCTCTGTAATCGTAATATTAACATCTCTTTACGAACTCGTTTGCTCCATTGTTATATCTGGCCCCTGGTATTATATGGATGTGAGGCATGGACCCTTAAAGAAGATCTACGAAAACGCATAGAAGCTTTCGAGATGTGGACTTATAGGCGCATGCTCTCTATAAGCTGGACCGAGAAGGTGACCAATGTCCGAGTTCTCCAACGAGTTGGCCAAAAACGCACGCTTATGGCAACTGTTAAACGGCGTAAAGTCTCGTATTTGGGCCATGTTCTTAGACATCAAAGATATGATCTCCTGCAGCTGATCATGATGGGCAAAGTTGCGGGAAAGAGAAAAGTCGGAGGAAGGAAGAAGTCGTGGTTGCGGAACATCCGAGAGTGGACCGGGATAGCAAGCGCTGCTGAGCTGTTCCGCCGAGCTAAAGACAAGAAGGACCTGAACATGCTAATAGCTAACCTTCACTAGTTGGAGAGGCACCTTTAGAAGAAGAAGAAGACATATACCAAATAAGAAATATATAGAGGAAATTGTTGAAAATTAAACATAAAATTTAAACAACTATTTTTAATGTGCTAATTAACGCACATAGGTGTATATCTATAGTGTAACACTGAATAATTGTCAATTTATATACTTTATATTTTGATAGTCTTTTGTACATTAAGAATTGCCTTAAAGCTATAATTATTTACAAATAACCTTATAATATTTTAAATTAAAAAAATAATTTGTTGATCATCAAAACAAACATATCTTTGCATCCATTAAAGATTTTGCTATAAATATTTTTTTTTCTACTATCAATTCTAATAGTAACATATTAAAAATGAATTGACACTAGAAAATTAAAACATACTGTAGGTATATAAGTTTCTAACATCATTGTGGACGTTTGGGTCTTCCGTCCTTTTCTAACGATAGAGTGCCATCGTCGTGTAACGTGTAGGCTGTTCCTTTTGATTGATGAGTCCATATTTTAATAGCTTTGAGATGCGCATCACTTTGTTCCTTAGCTGCTGAAGAATGTGGAGCTGGTTCTACCGTTGGTACCTTAATTCCGAATGATGACGGTGATGGGGTGAGTTGAGATGACGATGGTTTATGGGACTGTTGCGATATAACCTGGAACAGACATTATATAATTTATCAATAAGTATTTTTTGTGACTGACTATACAAAATTTATATCTTTTAATTTGACTGTATATTATTAGTTTCTTATATCTATTTCTTTTACAAATACTTACGCTATAATGAGGCACGTGGTACGAACTAACAGTGTGTAATTTTGAATTGTAGTTCATCAATGGAAGTTCCCCAAAATTCTCGACTTTGTAAGAGCTTGCTTTCACGACTCTAGGTACATTGTCTGTATTAGACACTTCGAAATCATAATCTTCTCTTAAGTTAATCGGTTTCGGTAACTCTTCTTCCTGAACAGGTTTCTTGGGTTCAATATCATTTCCTACGACTTGTCGTGTTGCAACATTATTTAATTCTTGTTGAATATAAGAATCAACGAAAGAAAATTGATTATTGTTGATAGATTCTTGCGTCTCTAACGCAACGCCTGAGATATCTTGGTGGTTGCTGTTTGTGTTTCTAAGTTTATGCGGCAAGAATATTTGCACTGCGTCATTGTCTTGCTTTTGTGGTTCAATGTAGCTAGAAGCGTGTGGACTGATAAAGTTAAATGGCTCTGAATGTTCTATTTTTGTTGAAACTGGTTTGGCTATATTACTACTGCTAATATGTTCGACATTTTGACTTGATTCAATGTTACTACTTACATAGGGTTTACTCGGTGACAGTTTCTGATTTGTTTCTAAATCCCGTAACGTTGGTTTATATACATTGTAGTCATCTTCTGCTGTAACAATTGTGTTTTGTGGACTGTTGTATTTTTGAAATGGAGGTTCTCTATATTTTTCACCGGCGAAGTTAATTATTTTATCCAAATCTTGTTTTGAAAGATTTTTCACAAGATTGTGTATGTCTTCATCACCCAAGCCATCATTAGGAGGTGGTGGGCGTTTATTAACCTTGTTCGGCCTAAAATTCCCAGGATGCGGTGAGTCGTCTTCCGATAAATGCGGCGGAGGTGTATACGAGAAGATGCCTTTAACAACATGTGGTATCGGGGGCCGTTTATAAAATCTCATTGGAGGATTAGAGTAGTATTTCGCTCTCTTTATGCGTACGTATTCCGGCATTTCATAATTTCGTCCGTAACTCTCGTCACTTTTAACATAAATCACAACACACAGTACTAAAACTACTAAATAAAAATTTGCTAACATTTCGGCTTGTGTGAATGTCGCGTCGCCTGAAAACTGAGAGGAAGTGAAATTGTCAACGCAGTCTTATAATACTTGAGTTGAAAGTGGTGTTAATTGTGTTAGAGTCGGTATGTCGGACGTGAGCAAACATCATGTCCGGTGATGTAATATTAAATATAATAGCTACTTACATGAGTTTCGGTAATTCAGTGACACGATCTAAGCATGCAACCGTTATATTGTCGACACTCATTAATAACATTAAGGTGTGAATTACTTATTACGTCGTAAATGTTTAATTTATTCACTGTTGTATTAATGTAAAGGTACTCTTAGCTGATGGACGATCAATGGATAGATAAATTAGTAGATTTTACAGTTTTACCGTGGTTTTAAGCAATTTTCGCAAAGGCAACGTTGAATGGTTAATTTATAATCTCTAGCTCTTCCGTACTTTAGACGACTTATTGAGACGTTGATCCCAGTAGCGTCTGTAGTCATTACCAGTCGCCAATGTGCTTTGGGTTCGCGTGGTACTGCTTCCTCACAGGGACATTAATATGCTCATGATACAATAACCTTTGACGTTTTAAAAAAAGGTTCCTCCAAACGCCTATTACTCACGATCTAATGCTCTACATATTGCTCCACATATTGATAGATCGTCGAGTAGACTTAGCTCTGCAGCATATGCCGTTATGAAAATACGTAGGTTAACTGACATAGATACTGCCAGATTAGTATACTTCAGTTACTTTCATACTGTAATGTCGTACGGACTCCTATTGTGGGGAAATGCTGCCGACATACAAACAATTTTTGTGCTTCAGAAAAGAGCAATTCGATCAATTTATAATCTTAGGATTAGGGACTCTTTAAGGGAGAAATTTAAGGAAATAGACATTATGACTGTTGCTTCTCAATACATATACGAGAACTTAATGTACGTTCGTAAAAATATTAGTTTGTTTTCTATAAAAAGTGATGTACACAATTTTAATACAAGAAATAAAAATAAATTAACGGTGCCTGTCACTAGACTGCAAAAAGTTAATAACTCATTCAAGGGTCTTTGTGTGCGCTTCTACAATAAGGTCCCAAGCAAAATACAACAATTAGATATCATGCAGTTTAAATCTACTATTAAAAAAATACTTATTAAAAAAGCTTATTATAAGGTATCCGATTATATAACAGATAAGAACGCTTGGACTTGAGATGATCCAGCAACTGTATAGGTGATTACTTCTAAACTCATTATCTTGTTTCCATTATTATTAAATGATTATGTTATCATTATAAGACCATATTTATTTATTTTTTCTCTATCTCTGTTTATAATGTATAGATCTGGTAATGACATGGTTTTTGTAAATGTCATTACTCTTATTAGAGCTGGTGAGTTTCTTGCTCGTTCTTCTTATCGGCCAAAAGACGTCCTGAACGAGTGGTAGGGAAAAAAATGTTGGACGATTCAAAAGTACTTTTAAGAAGTCTATTTGAATAAAGATTATTTTGACTTTGACTTTGACTCTATTATCTGCACCTTAATTATGATCGCTGATCATTGTTACAGTCTGCGATCTGCGTAGACGTGACAGGTGGCACGGACCGACCTTTCACCATCACATTCAAATCGTATACAGCAGGCGATGCGCCTGTCCGTATTGATAACCTTTGCGATGACCTGTTTCTCAAATTGCACCAGGCGGACTCGGGACAGGTGATTTATTAATGACTAAATTGTCTTTTTTTATTTAAGAAAAAATATATCCATCTTACGTTATGTCTGTATGTTCCATCTTCCATAGTTTACGATGATTTATTTTTCTCTTCGTGTATCTTATTTATTATATTATAACTTATTTTTTTTTTGACTGGATGCCTTTAACTTCTTTAATGTAACTAATATTTACCATCAATGAAAGTAGTAATACTAACTATAATGTTCAGGTTGCTCTACTGAGCCCTTACCAGTCGATGCTTTACACTTGGGACGACCCTGGCAAAGAGAGGTTGTTGTACTGGAATATATATAATAATAAAGGCAAAGGTTTCCACGCTGACTTCACTCAAGACGGGTAAGTTTACAAGAATTTACAAATATCAGTAAATTTAGTGCTAATATTGATTTTTATACGAGTATCTTAATTAATCAATTCTCCTTTTCAGGTTCGGTGAAGAAAAAGTCAGTTTTCAATCAGTGAAGCACTCGACACTAGTAGCAACGAGCAGTGTCACTTCAAAGCTATCGTCTACCCTTAAACGTTTAACGCCCAAATCTCCAGAACCATGCTCCTCGAGCAGTGATGATTCAGATAGCTCAGACCTACCCGAGAATCAAACGAAAGCCAAGAAAATGAGGAAAGACAAAGTAATCGTTTACTGGGTTTCGTACATGGAAGGTTATCAAAGAGTCTTCGCTTTGGCTCAGGATGAAAGAATAGCGTACCAATATCGAATGAGAATCAATTCGGAAAGAACTAATTTTGAAGTTTACATGTCCTTATCAGCACTAAGTTTATCTGTTTGTGTGCAGCATAATAATAACGTAAAAGAATTGGCATATACCAGCATAACTGATTCTCTGCCACGATGGGAAGTAAACGTAAGTCGGAAATGGAAACAGTTGTCACCAGATTTAGCAGCTTGGATCGAGGACAAATATCAAACTGATCAAAAGAAGTGTCAACTGAAGGAGTACATTGATATCGATTTAGAGAAGATGCAAATGACTAAGCCCTTCTTCTCAGAGCTACGTCGAACGTATAACCCTGGAATTTGGTTACAATTCCGTAAATCTGACACATATTCATACTTCCACATGAAATTGCACAGATTCCAAATAGACAATCAGTTGCACGAAGCGATATTTCCTAGTGTGATGTATCCAGCTCCTTTACCAGCTGAAGCAAGATCTAGCAGAGGCCTAAAGCCTTGTCTTGAATTTGAAGCGTTGAAGCAGCACAGGCCTAGCCTGAACCAGGACGTGTATAATCATGTGAAAGTTTTAGTTAGAGAATTCTGTGTGAACTTAGATCGTGGTTTTGTGAACCACGTGTTTGATATCTTAAACCATTGGAAGATAGAGGAGAAGCCGGCAGTGAGGTTGCGAGCCGACCTTGCTTTAGTCCACATGCCTTTACCGATAATAGCGATTAAAAGTCAGACAACAGCCCAAAGGAACGTTGTGTTTGAATATGTTCACTTATCACCTTTAAAAGTGGTGCTGAGCTTATCTTCTAGAGGATATTTAGCGGAGACTAGTAGCCCTAGCCGTTCGATATTTGGCCACAAAAAGGAAAACAGGCCTAAACTGTTTAATAGTGATTTGTTGGAATATTTGTTTAACTCCTGGGGTTCCTCCCTTTGCGATATGAAGGATGTAGTTTTAAGGTAATATTCACCTTACCTTATAAAATGGAATGACTATAGATTTTTTTTTTCAATTATCTATTACACGTTTTAAATTTACCTAATCCTTAGTTTTGTCGAGATATTTGTGACAATGATTACGTTTCTTTCAACAGAATGGCTTATCTGGAAATGCGAAATGCCCCTATCACAGTCCCTACTCTCATGGACATGGCGTCACGTCATTACTGGACCCAGCTGGTGCAGCAGTTCCATGTATTAGTACTAGGTCTCAACATCCTCGGCAACCGTTACAGCGTCATAGGAGATTTCTCTAAGGGGATGAAACAATACTACGAACCTTACCTTGTGAGTTAATATGAAATAGTTATATTTAATTGCATAAAACAATTTGGAACCAAAGTATTTTTTTTCTTTTGTGACATATTGTATCGGTTATTGATATCTTTGATATTTAATTTCTACTATTAGTCTTATAGACACCTATCGAATGAATATATTTGATTTAAGGATCGCATAACAACAACGTGTTACGTAAATAAATTCATTAACATCAGCCCTTTTATATATCCCCACTGCAGCGACTCAAGCCTCCCTTATGGATGGTTAAGGAGGATAGTTCATGCTCTCCACGCTGGCCTAATGCAACTTGGAGGGTATTAAAGACTCCAAATACAGCCGGGGCCAACGGCTTAAGCGCGGAGTAGCTCAAGATTATAATTTTTCGGTCACCCAGCCCGTGACCGACCCTTGCGATAGTTGCTCAACAACAATGGTCGCGGGCAGCGGCGCTTATCCATTACGCTACCGAGCTTCTATATTACGTAAATAAAATAAATAAATAAAATTTCGTAAAATAAATTCATGAAATAAATCAATTTTATTATGCGTCGTGTTAACGGGAGAAAAAGAAGCTTAAAAGGGTACCGTTCATGCAGGGTTCGATCGGTGCCCGTGCCCTCGACATCAGCAGGCGCGTCGGCGAGGCCGCAGCCGCTACGTTGGGGCACTGCGCATGCGCCGGTGCGCAGGACCTCTTCGACAACGCTCCACGCGCACGCGCCTCCACACAGAAGAGACCCGGTGAGTCGATCCATATTTCTGAAGACAATAATCAGGGCATTATTTAGATTTCCTAATTAAATCACAGCACTTATCACTTGAGGAAACCATGCAATTTGAGCAACTTATTTATTAATTTTCTAAGAGATTTTTTTGAAATCTATAAATATAATATAATTTACATACTTTAATAAACCGCGACAAAGTAGTATACATTTTTTTTACATTATCTATCTAATTGAAACACGACTAATTTTAATGTTTGTTTAGTAATTTGTTGGGGAAAAATCGGTAATTATAACTTGGAGAAAATTTGAATAAACAACATATATTTATGTGTGATTAATGCATCATCTGAAGGAGAAGAAGAAATAAGAGAAAACGTCATCCCAGAGTCAATATTAGAGGGAGACAATGTGAATCCAGCCAGCGTGGTGTTGGCTTTAACGGGCTTGATCGCAAGGCCCACCATCGGTAAGGCCACGCGGCATTAGGCCTTATAATTGTAGTGTAGCAAGCATCGCTTATATTATTGTATAATAATCCACGTCAATGTAATTTGAATAAGACGTCAATGTAATGATAATAAACATAACTACTTAATTAAAAAATGTTTTAGTAATACATATACTAACAACGTTTTATTACCTTTTAACATTTATTACTGTAATTTACTTAGCAGCTTTTCCCGTAGCGTGACACCACTCGCTAGTTTGTCGTCCATCCTAACTTGCATTACGATGTTTTATAAATATGCATGATTTAAGATTCATTAAAAATATTGACATTTTTATAATACTTAATGATACCACTGCACTTCTAATGTTAAGTCACCATTAAATTTGTTTTATTTTTTTTCTGTCTGCGTGTGGATAGACGAAGACTATGTACTTGTTCGACGTGAGTATCTTAGTGCATGACTTAATTATGGATACAGACGAAAAGTGTAAATTAACTTCACCATTGGCATACATTAACTGAATATTAAGCACAAACTGCGGTATTCCTTACTTTTAAGTAGGGGAAGTCCGGGCAACGCGAATAGGTCAGGCAAAGTGAATATCTCACATTATTTCAAAATGGCGTATTCGTGCAAGTCCGTAGCTTGCCATGAGGTCCGCCCCCCTCTCCTCAGTCGTAAACAAGCAGAGCAAACGCAAGGTCGCGCGTCGTTTGTGAAAAAAAGGTGAAACATAATAATATCACAATTTGTTACGATATTTTATGGTATTTCTTTTAATTATTACTATTGTGTTACTCTTTTGGAATCATTATTGACGTAAAGTGCATGTTTTCTTGTTGAATTACTGTGATATTCATTAAGTTATTGTGTCTGGATTTGATTGTAGGTTAGTTTTCGTTCAAAAAGTATCTGTCGCACAAAGCGAACACGGGCAAAGTGGATATGGTATCCACTTTGCCCAGTAATGATGTGACTCGATTATTTACTCCAGCATATTTAAAAATGTGCTTCTGCCAATAATGCCATTAAAGGGTTTCAATCTCCAGGAATTTGGCCAATTAATATGGATATATGGGAAGATAAGGATTATGCACCATCCTCTACAACAATGATGAAACCTAATACCGCAAATACAAAAGCAGCATTTCATGAAACAACTAATCGAGATGTGTTAACTGCAACGGTAGACCATGGCGCGGTGCCTACGACGTCAGGGTTTCAATGTTCATATGGACCAAATAAAGCTTCGGAAATTTACGATCATGATTTTAGTGACGAAGAGGTCGAACCTGCTGGACCTATTTGTGTAACAGTTCAAGTTCATACCTCAAAAATGAGAGAAACGAATGATTCGGCGTTGGAGTCTGTCTTTTGTCCCGGAATTAGCGAGCCTGGAGGAGTATCGCCAACAATAATTCCAGAAGTAAATCAAGAAGATCCATTTAAAATCTCTAAAAGCCCTGCTAGATATTTTACTTCTGACATCAGTGCTACAGATTTAATGAGTACTTCGACTTTACTTTCAAATAAAAAACCTGCAATATATCAGACTTCACCTGCCGCTTATTTGAGTCCAAGAGAAATAAGACCACTTCCAAGTCCTTACGTTCCCATGGGAACACGAAAAAGATATATTCAAAGGTCTGAGATGCTTACTAGCACACCGGTTAAGGGAGAACAGAAAGTTAAATTTGTTAAAGCAAATACCAAAGCATTAAAAAATATTAACAAAAATTTAAAAACAAAGACTAGACCGAAGAAAAAGACCAACATAACCAATAATATTGAAGCGAGAAACACTAAACTTAAGAAATTTTAAACTAAAGAAAATGACGAAAACTGCACGTGCTATTTTTGTGGGGAAAATTATGTTGAAGTTAATGGGCAGCCAGTTGATGATTGGATCCAATGTAGTTCCTGCAAGAAATGCATATGAGGGAAAGGGCATTTTTCTTTGTGATAACTGTACTGATAAGTGATTAGTTACTTTTTTGTTTTTTTTTTTGTTATCTTTACTATATATTTTATTCGTAATTGATCCTAGTCTGATTGTGTTCACTTTGCCCTTTGGTACTATCCACTTTACCCGATGGGTTGGGCAAAACGGATAGAAGCGAAGGATGCAATTTAATCAAATTTTTTAAGAAAAGTTATTAATTTACGTTTTTGTTTGTTGATTTCTTTTAAACTTTAATAAAGACTGATTCATATTCCGTCACTATTTTATTTCTATGTCTAGTAGATCACATTCCATAGTCTTTCAAAGCTTAAGATGTCCGCTTTTCCCGGACTTCCCCTATTCCTAATCATAAGAAATTAATGAAATTTAACATTCGTCTTTTTCCATATTTAAGATTGCATGATCCTAAACTAGTATATAATTAATATTAGTTTATCAATAAATATATATTAGAGGTACAAATCATCTAATATCAATGTTAAAAACCAGGTAATACGATAAGACTACCATCATTATCTAGGTATTGAGAACACTGCACATTTACAAAGCGATTAGCCAAAACAATGTCAAGTTCTTTAAAGTGAAGTTTATAGAATTAATGACGTTTTAAAACATACATCATGAAGTACGCTCAAGTATATAAATCTCCTATTATAACAAATTAGTAATATTGTACGTGCTGCCGTCAAGATGTTCGCACAACACACTTTGCTGGTTTCGTTAGTGCTGATAACAAGATGCCACAGTCAGCACGTCGGATATAAGTTATCGAAGAGTTCGGAGCCTCCAATCCGCTTAGGTATATTAGACAGTTTCGTTCAAGGAGTACATGATATTGCTACCGTTTTGAGTAGTGTTCCAGACACGATCAGTATTTTATTGAATCAAGATGAAGAACAAATCAATTTATATGCTCCATCCGACAACGAAGACGCATATTTAAACATTACACAGTTGACAGCAAAATACGGATATCCTTGCGAAGAACATAGTGTTGAAACAGAAGATGGTTACATTATAAATATGCACAGGATACCTCATGGTAGAAAGAATAGGATGAATAATTCTACAGTGTTTCTGATGCACGGATTTATGGATAGCTCAGATAGTTGGATCCTGCAAGGCCCTGATAAAGCACTAGCTTATATCTTAGCCGATGAAGGCTTTGATGTTTGGTTGGGAAACGCACGAGGTAATAAACACGCTTTAAGGCATAATACATTGAACAGAAACCAATCAGATTTTTGGGATTTCACTTGGGAAGATATGGGGATATACGATTTGCCAGTCATGATAGACCACGCACTCAACGTAACTGACAAGGAAAGCCTGTACTACATCGGCTACTCCCAAGGTACTACCAGTTTCTTCGTCATGACTTCCTTAAAACCAGAATATAATGACAAAATCAAGATGATGTTTGCTTTAGCACCAGTAGCTTGGATGGCGAATGTGAGAAGTCCTCTAGTGAAAATGTTCTCACCCGCTTTTAATTTCCTCAGCAATGTCTTGTGGGATTATAACTTCATCAACACAGAATTCCTAGAATCATTCTCGGGGACGATTTGTGGTATTTTGGGAACAAATTGTCATAGTGTTATGTACATGATCGTGGGTCATGATAGCAAATATATGAATGATGTTATGCCAGTGATGTTGGGTCATATGCCTACCACTTCGTCGACTCTACAACTCGTACATTACGGGCAGTTAGTGAAATCTGGAAGATTCTGCCGCTTCGATTTCGGTGCACAAAGGAATATGGAAATTTATGGTGCCGAATATCCGCCCGATTACGATTTAAGCAATGTCGCAGTTCCTGTAGTGTTATATTTTAGTGAAAATGATTGGCTAGCAGATATTGCAGATGTACAAATATTGGAGCATCATCTACAGAATATTTATGAATCCAATTATATACAGGATTTCAATCACTTGGATTTCCTTTACGCTTCAAAAGCGAATGAAATTATTTATTCAAAAATTGTAACGCAGATCTTAGATTTCGCCGAAGTTGACTAATTTATACATTACAATGTTAGTAAATTACGCCATGTTAAAATTCCTTACTTATAAAAATAAACAGTTATCAACTTTGTTGATTTTAATTAATAAAAATGCATTATTTTACATACCCTGATATTTTAAACCAAGTGGTTTACATACCCTGATATTTTAAACCAAGTGGTTTAAAATATCAAAATAAGAGAAAGATTGACTTATAGCTAAATGGTACGTGCGAAACGTTAAATTATTTATGACAGGAGCGGTGGTAATTACATCAATCAATAGGGAGAGCAGTATAAACATAAGCGAAGACTACAAATAGTAGAATGAAAATAGCATCAGAATACCTACCTTATTGTGTAATTTCAATAATTAGATACATAGTAAAATGTTTCACACACTCATAACCTTTAGATATGTCAAAGAAATGACGAATATTAAATTATAGAATTAAGCTTTATATATTATAGATTTATGTCGCGAGGCCGCCCGCGCGTCTCTCTCGCGTCATCTCGGCGCCAACAACGCTGAAAAGGCTCTGAAAGCATGCGTGGAGAGGAGTGGAGGCAGACTGGTAGCACGACAACGGTTGCCCAGGCACTGTACACTGATCGAGGTGAGTATAATATTTGGTTCAACATTATAACACTATTAATGACCTCATCAGATTTTACATCAGCAATTAAGTCGGTATTTGTACTTCGTCGTCTCAGAGAAATCGTTAGAAACCGGCCACGTGCGAGTCAGACTCGTGCAAAAGGGGTTCTATACCATTCTCTATAAAAAGATATAGCTTGATTATCAATTTATCAATTTTTTTACATACAAGTTTATTCATTATTGAATAAACGAATATACTCGTAATAATACCAATCTAGACATATTTAACCCAAGTTTCTCTGAATATAAAAAAAATGTATCCAATATTATTATAGATGCAAAATTTTCCTAACTTCAGTCACAGCAGCATTATCATTATTATTTTTATATCTTTTTTTTTTTAATTTGTTGTGATTGTTTTTTTTTCTCTTTTTATTTTTTGTGATATCAACACTGTAATCACGTCTGCCGTATGCCGTCTAGACTTATATAAACTTAATAATACTCTATATTATAACTATTGTAATGATTGTAATCTGTCAGTGTACCTATAATAAATAAATAAAATAAAAAAATAAATTATTAATATAAAGAAAGGAATTATTCCTAAGACAATATTATCTACGCGTACGCGTGAAGTTGACAAATGTATGACAATGTAAAACAAAATGTAACAGTAATGAAAAATTTATTAAATTAAATATTTGCATGCTATCTCTGTATGGCTAAATATGTTTTAAGTTCTTATTTTATTTTAAGTAATTACTATCAAATTGTACCCTATTTAAAGGCAAATAAATTATTATTATTATTAATGTGAGACGGAAGAAATCAAAAACCCAGTCAGGTACTGAGAACTCGGACGATTCGCTTAGCTTAGGGCACTTTCATTACAACAATGTAACGTTGTGTCAGGGCGTGACCGCGTACTCGCAGCACGCGGCGCTGGGCCTGCAGCTGCTGGCGCTGCTCGGGCGCGGCCACTACGCGGACACGGACGCGTACATTGCGCACGCGCACCTCGGACCCACTTCCAACTGCACGCTGCTCATCTCCACTCAGTAAGTCATCAAGGGGGGCAGGGGGCAGCTGTCCCCTCCCCTAGTGATTCTACAAAAATTGCCTGATGTAAAGCAACTAACGCCCTAAGTCTTTGACTTCACTTGCTTAATCGATCATTAAACCTAGGGCAGAAGAAGGGGAGTGTTATGACTTATTTACAATTTTTATTTATTCTACAGTCAAGTAACTTTACAAGTAACACTCTGTGCTATTTTTATTACAATTGCCATAGATGTAAGGTTCTTACTACAAGTAAAAAACTTCATGTGCTCTCCACTTTACCTACAATACATACTTAGTCCATTCTCCATAATAAACTTGCCCTCCCCCCGGGCCATCGACTGGCGACGCCTCTGATCATCATCACAACATTATTGTACCTACTGCTATTTATGGCTGGAAACTACGCAGCCTGGCCCATCGGTGTAATGTTGCCTGCACTAGTTCATGCAGCCTTCATCGCTTTACCTTTGGCAATCCTATTTTGGTAGATACTTCAACAAGCCGTGCAAAGCGCTTTTAATCGCCTTTACTACTGCGCCCTGCAATAAATTGAATTCCCTGCTGTCAATATACCCGAGTGTATATAACCCGGACTTGTAGGCGAGAGTGAATAGGTGAATAGGTAATACAGGGTTGGGTTGAGATCAAAAGTGAGTTTATCTCAGTAAAAAAAAAACATGGAGAGCGGACTAACACACGGGCCTTGTGGAGATTTATTGGTGCTAACAACTGCATATGCAGCTGAGGCCAACGGTTTAATGTGCATTGAGAAGCACAGAGGAAGATCGAGATAGTAGATTGAATCATCAATCCGACATAAGACACTACAGGGGCAACGCAATTTAACAATTATACAACTGGCATTCATCTTCAAATAATGCCGTTTCTTGAACAGTTAAGATAATTCATCGAGGTTTCAGGCACATCTTCATGGTTCGCGCGAGTAGCGGAGGCTCCTGGCACATCGAATGGGCGGTCACCATAGACGACGTCATCGACTCGCCCATCATACGCGGAGACCAGCTCGTACTTAATATCAAACAAGTAACAATTTAATTTTTTTATCGATTTGCAGTGCCACAGCGATTATAATTCAGTTGCTTCAGCGAAACCCTCTTCCTTCAGTACCTACTTGCTCCTACATCGAGGTCTATTCTACCATGTAATATTTCAAAACAGAGGCCGTATGAAAGGTCATTTCGCTCAAGCCACTGACAAGTTTTATAATACACTAGGAAACAATAATAACACTATATATTTTTTTAAGGACGAAATGGTGAACTATTTCTCCACGGACGAGAAAGTCATCGAAGTATCTGATCCCGATATTATAACCTGGCTAAAGTCGAAAATAGAAACGGCCCTCATTCTCTCCTTGGAAGATAAACGATGCCCGAATGAATAACAGAACTCGCCGACTGTTCCACATAGACCAATACTACACACAAACGAAAAGACTTAACTGTTTCTGTAAAATCATAAGATTTATTTAAGTTATTACCTATTGATGCACGATGCCAAACGTCACACATTTTTTAATAAAAAAGCAGTTTTTTCAATGAATATAATATATTAATGATAATAGATAATTTGATTCTTCCATCGCTAATAAAAAAACAGTAATGAGTTAAATTATGAAATAGCCAGGCAACGCATATTGATGTAATACTTAATCAGTATTTTGTGGCTGGATATAGCAAACACGCGTACAGGAAAACTTAGTATTAAGCTGTTATTAATGTTATAAAATAGAGATGAAATATTGTATCTAAACGAGTTCAATGTAATTGAGTGTTTCACTATGTAAAGTTTTCAATTTTATGTTAGAGTTCTCCATTTTGTGTAACAAATCAACATGGCGGGACATATCAATCAGCTGATATTAGTTTATTTGGATAATGTGTCCATCACCATCTTTAATTTTGTAATCGTTTATTTAATGTATCCATTTCATAAATATCGGAAAATTTACAATATTGTGTTTTATAATAATGATCTCGTAATCTAGTCAAATAGAATTATTTTCTAGTGCGTAAGTATACGTATTATATTGACGTTATTATGTTGCTGCTTTAATATTTTATTAGTAATCAAGTGACATTACAAAACGACATAAAAACTCACATCGACAAAATTATAATTATCGAGTTTTATATATTTTGCGACACTTATATATTTTAGAAATATTTTAGCGTTAGAAATAAACGCACACTCGATTAAAAACAATTGTTGGTATTTTGTAGTGGTACTGGCAATTTTAAGTTGTAAAATTATTTTGCAATATGTTTGGCGCCCAACGTGTAACGTTTAAGTAGTTTTTGCCTAAAAATGTGAATATAACACTCACAGAAACTTTTTTAACTATCGCTTGTGGTTTTATTTTAAGCTATCGAAACCACAAGCGATCATTTTTTACATTGCCTCATGTTAGAATTTAAACTAAATTCGTTCATACATTAGATAGCATTAATAAATGTTGAGAGTATTTTCGTATGTAATGGATTCACATACATATAATTCTAAATATGTTATTGATGTCTATATTACGTTAGATATACACTGACATCTCGTATTCACAAATAAACTACTTGCTATAAAATTCAATCACTTTCTTCAAGTGTGCCTCATAGTATGATGTTGGAAAAATATAAAACGCAATTTCCTAACGCGAATTACTTATTAACGCGAAAACTGTTTAACTAGATTTGAGTGAATACAAATAAGGGTGTACTTAGACTTATTTGGTGAAGCGAATTCTGAATTGTAATAATCGGTTCTATGAGCATTTTTATCAAAACTAAAGACCGTTCTGGTGACAAATTATCATGATGATAATGGTTGATATCTACATATATGTTAAACCTTGATTCCTAATTCATAAATTTATGGTTTTTAACCACGTTTGGTCGTTTCTTAACCAAATGGTTAATGCGTCCACTTATATAGAAGGCTTGTGTTTCAGTGTGTTCTGAACCTAAATTTATTCACATTTATTTAAGGACACAATATTTACTCTAAAACTGTAAATTAACCAATAGGTTTTCACGCCGAAGAAAGCAATATCACGTGATACCTAGTTCCAACTTTAATTGAAGATTAAAATCATGAAATTCGAAAACAATGACAATTTCTTAAAATTCAATTAGTAACGCAATGGACCTGGCTCTTCAAGCGCCTGTAATAGTGTTAAAAGTTTAATTTCCGTCAGTGCGTCATTCTAGTTCACGGTTAGTACGCTTAAAGTAATTGCAACATTTATGGTATTTCAGATTAATTTAGTTGCACTTTATTTTAATAATCTCGCTCTCTCTTTAATCTATGTAATCGAAATAGGGATAGATAATTCTCTCAGGCGACATTTTTTTAAATGTAAGATAGTTTTATAACAAGACCTAGTGAATGTCAACCTTTGTCCGCCTCCAGAGGTCTAATTGTTTAATTTCAAATACATCTTTTTCCCGTTCGATACGATATCACGGTACTATTATTTGACATGTGGTAATAATTGCGATCGTGTTGTCTTTATGATTAATGAACGATATCGATAATTTGAAATTAATTGGAATTGTCTAAGGTAAGCCTAATACGCAAATATTACCCATTGTCTTATGAGAAGACAGAAGAGTCACTTCATCACATTTACTTTTATGAATTTTATAAATATTATTATTATAAAATATTTTTAAGTTAGTATTTCGGCAATATGACCCTCTGTACTTTTGAAAAATTATATATACTTGTATTATTCTTGTCAACGGAAGATTGTGGGTTTAAGAACCCACAATCTTCCGTTGACAAGTTACAGGGTCCTCCTATTTTAATTTCCGACGGATCTACACTACTGTATTTTAAGGAATTCACCTGTTACGCAATTCCATGTAATTTTTTTTTATTATTATATTACCTACTATAATTTAAGTTACCAAGTTTTTATTATGTTCTTAAACATTCAAATCATCATTTGTTCCGAAAGTGATTGGTGCTTTAAATATTACATATTTCCATTAATCGCTATACCAAATGTTTGCTATTAATTTTGAAATTAGACAATGAGCAGCGTCTCAAACATGTGTAAAAATTAATATTTTTAGCAATTTCGTCTAGAGGGAATATATGTCCAAACTACTGTCAGCTGAATATCGTAAATAAAATATTGTCAATTGCATAGTTGTTGATAGTTATCATGTCAGATAGTCATCAGAACAGCCCTGCGATTCTGTAACAATCCAGACCCGAATTCGAATTCACTCATGTGTCCGAATTCTAGTCATTTAGTATAGAAATCATATTGATTCCATTTTTTGTATGAAAATACTAAACGAAATTGACTGATTAAACGTGTCATAGATATTTTAATCCTATATCATTTCGAAACTCACTTCACTTATTTCACGAAACATTATTACCAATTCAAGTTTGAGCGGATGCTGCTTTTTGAAGTGAATTCGGACACCCGAGTGATTTCGAAATCGGTTTAGAAGTTTTACAGAATCGCAGGGCTGATCCAAAATTTATATATGTATCATTACTGTACACCCTAGTTAAGAATCTTAAGAGAGAGCGAGAGTTGTATATAATATGTATGTCATAAGGACTCTGCTGCACAATCGCCCATTAAATTTTTCATAAGTTTAAAGGGACATCACCAATGCAAATTTTCAAATTTAGAACATTCATTGGAGCTTAAAGTCGTCATAAAACCTTAATGGAGGTTTGTGCAACTGACCGATTGTGTGTTAAAATTGGCCAAACACTTCCCAACTCTACAACATCTTCATGAAACAATTTTATCTACATTTCGCATGCTTACATCAAATCATAACATGTTTAATCATGCCTATAACTAATTGTATGTTTTTTAAAAGGAACAAATAAAAATGTATAAATAAAAATATATCTCTTTTATTTCTGTAATCCATAGATATATATGTCGCAGCCAAGTGGTATAATCAGTCCACCAATTGAGGGACTAGACCTTTAATTGAATGGCGCTATTCAATTTAATTGAAAGGTTAGCCACCCAATTGGTCGGTTGATTATTTATTGCGACTAGCCCTTTAATTGAATGGCGCCATTCAATTTCATTAGAGGGCTAGCCGCCCAATTTGTCGGCTGATTATACCACTTGGCTGCGACATATACACAACATACTAAAGTATATAGATTATAATATTCATAAATTACTATCAGCATAGAAAGCTACACCTTAAATTTCTTTAAAAAAAAAAGTATTATACTACCTATTATATAGAAATATAGTAGATTTCTTTAAAAGCTCTTGTGAATATAATATAATAAACCTGGAAAGAAAGACATTTGTTGTTTGGATTTATAAATTAAAAAGTAACAAAAAAAACCTTTTGCTTGAAAGGGAGGCTGTGTATTCTTACTAAATTACGATAAGATACTCTAGTTAGTCAATCTGAATTTTCACCACTAGAACTATAGTCACAGACCAATGATAATGTACTTGATTTGCTTTCATTGTTTTTGCTTACACTATTTTTGGTTTCAGTTCCAACTTCAGAGTAACTTTTAAAGTCAGGTTCAGACTTATCCAATTTGATTTCATTTGAATTCATTTCTATACAGGCCTTTGATTCTTCTTTATGGAATTGGGTGATATTGATTTTATCTGGACTTCTAGTTTCACCAGTATTTGGCTTTGCTTTTTTTATCATAATGCCTAAAGAATTTCTAGTTAATAGTGAGTTTTTAATCAATGATTCTTCTTTTTTTAGCTCTCCAAATTTGGTCAACAGACCACTAGAACTTGGTAAGGCTGGTGTGTTCATGATTTTATTTCTAACTTGACTCTCTTTCTCTTCTATGCTGTGTGAAGACCTCAAAGATAACAAAGATGCCAAGTTTCTGTCTTCCTCACTCTCTGGGAGCAGCTCTATGTTCAGTGAGGATTTTGCTAGAAGTAGGCTGTCATTAACAGAGGCTTGTTCCAGTTCTTTTCTTCTTTTCTAGATAAAAATGGAGAAAAATAATTTAGTAAAACCTTTTAAATAAACAATCAGTTGAATACGTTTAATATCATTAAAAAAGAGACTGCAGTTTTTAGTTGAGCGATACCTACCCTAAAATTTCTTCTGAGCAGGCAATTAGCATCATAATCATCTTTCCAAACAGTTTCATTTCTACCAACAAGTCTCCCGAGCCTTGGTTTGTCTTGCTTTGCCACATCTACATCCCCTGTTTTGTGTTCGAGACGAAACATAGCATCATCAAAGAGTTTCTTCTGAGTTTCTTTTGTTTCTGGGACTATTTGCCCATTTTCTGTTGGATCCCATCTATTTTCTTGGCGCCTCGCTCCTGATACTATTACATAGTCGAGATTCTGAAAAGTTAATTTAGTAGTTAGTACTGTCTACTTTTTATTTATACATCACTACATAGTATAAAACAAAGTTGCTTTCTGTGTCCCTTTATCCCTATGCATGCTTAAATCTTTAAAACTACGCAACGGATTTTATGCGGTTTTTTCTTTTTACATAGTTAGGGTGATTAGAAAAGAAGGTATATGTATAATACAAGACCACATGGGTGAAGCCGCTGGCAGAAAGCTAGTCAGGTTATAATGTTCATTCATCATCATCATCATCATCAGCCTTTTTTACGTCCCCACTGCAGGGGCTCAGGCCTTCCTTATGGATGGTTAAGGAGGATGGGCCATGACCCTCCACGCTAGCCCAATGCGGATTGGAGGGTATAATTTTCATTATTAAGGCATAAACTAATGAATTTTTATTTAATGTATTTCAATTATTTGGATCAGGACCAAATAATTGAAATACAGCTACTGATATAACTGACAAATAATACAACTTTACTTACATTTATTTGACTTTGTATTGAATCAATATAATGTTTACATATAACTATATAGCACATGAAGGAGGATCAAAACTATTCATACTTACTCCAGGATCTGTTTTTATCTCAAAATGATTGTCACACAGGTGACACTTCATTCGGAACTGATACACCGGTGTGGTATAATACATGCCTATTTTCTTCTTCTCAGCATTATATCTGACACCCATACCGATGTGGTTGTTGCAACCGTCGCACCAGATGTTATATGGCATTTCGAAGCGAATTATAAGAATCCCCATGTGAAGTTTTCTGGCTCGTTCCCTCAATGCATGAGTACCAAGGAATTTGTTCAACCCCCCGACCTTGGGGTCGTAGTCAGGGGGGTAGTATAAGTTTTGACCTTTTCGTTCTCCCATTTCAAATATATAAGCTGCGGAATAAATTTAAATTCGTCAATAATTTGCACAAAATTGGACACGTTTTTAGTTTTTCTTACATTTCAAGTCTTTTGTTTAAACTGTAATAATTTATACAAAAAATAAATATATACATTATATTGCACTTACATAATACTTTTAACAATAACTTTGTAAAAATTTTAATTAATTTAAAGAGTCGCGTACAGAAGAGCAAATATTTACATTTGAGTGGCTGACATTGACATTGACATTTCCCTTTTTTTTATTATATTTACGGTTCTAAAACTATTAGACCGATTGTAAAAATTGTTTCAGCTACGAGAAGCTAGAGTCTGGCAAGCGAAACGTGTCACAAGAAAAGGGCGGCAATTTCAAAAATTCTTAAGCAGTAAACACTGAATGTAGTACTGCAAAATAATTTTGATACTTTTATTAATTATATTTAATCTTAACATTTAGATATCAATTAAAATTATTTGTTTTGGAACATTTGACTAAAGCGTGACTGTTCTTAATTGTACAGTTAACAGCATATCAGTAGGCCTATTCACTAACTCAACTGACAACCAAGAATCGTCATCACCGTAAAAAATAGACACTTTGATTGTGTCAAAATCACTATTTCGTATTCTCTATCAATGATGAGCAATTTCGAAATGTCAATATCGGCATTCTCCACTGGACTCCATTTTGACACTTGATTTCGTATCGATAAACTGTATTAAAGTAACATTGTTGCAAAGCATATTTGAAGTCGTCGCATAGTACCTCTTAAGCCATTTGTTGTTAAATTAAAGCGAAAAAAAATACGTATCCAATATTTTTCTATTATCTGACTGACGGACTAAATCGAATCTTTTTTTTAACCCATTCGTTATACCTATTGGCTAACAGCACTTATAATATTAAAAATTCATATTTGTCATTAATTAAAAGGGTGTTTTTTGCAACGACTTCTTTGTTTTTTTGTAATGAATATGGGCGACTCTGGCCACATTTTTTTAATAAATGTGATGTTAGCCAATTTTGATTTCTGGCCCTTATATTTATAATGTGTTCATAACACATACATGTCTCCTAAGGGATTTTCATCACAACCTTTTGCTCTGATCCAGAACCACTATCTATCAAATTAAATTAGTCAATATAAACACCAGATTACAATAAAAAAAACATTTATTTTTGTTACAATTAAGTGCCATGGATAAATTACATAATACAGGTGTCACAAAATCATCATGTTAATCACAATAGAAAATTTAAGATAAGATTTTGACTATGAATCAGACTAAAAATACTTTAGTCTGATTCATAGTCAAAATCTGTTTCTAAATATTCTACACCTGATAACAATGACAAGGAATCATCAGAGTCACTCTCTTCACTACTGTCTGCACCAACAGATATAATAAATTTTTCAAGTTCGTTTTCAACAATGCCATCTTTTAATTTGTAATCATTTTCGACATTTAAAACATGATCAGTGTATTTCTTCCAGTCACTAGGGGTAATTAAGTTAAAACACTCTATTATTAAGTTTTCCATTTCCTTTCCTGGTATTCCAATGTTTCTGCTTGCAATTTTTCTTTTTGCTTGACTCCAAACCATCTCTATTGGGTTTAAGTCACAATGATACGGTGGCAGCAATAAAAGTTCATGATTATGTTCTTTTAAAATCTCTTCAGCTTCATATACAGGCAATGTTTTCTTATCATTAACCAAACACATTAACTCTGCCTTTGTCTGATATTCCTCAAAATGTATTCCATTATTTACAAGCCATTTAAGGATATCTGCTTTGGTATTAGACATTATAGGCGGTTTATTGATTTGTTTTATATGGTAGCTGGCATTATCCATAACAATTACACTGGGCTTACTTAAATTTGGTATTAATTTTTCTCTGACCCATTTCATAAAGTTCGATGAGTTCATATCATCATGATAATCAGCAGATTTGGATTTACTACTGAACACTAATAATGCACCAGGCACAAAACCTTCCTCAGATCCAGCATGCACAACAATATGCCGTTTTCCAGAGGATATCTTTGTAGTGACACCAGTTGTTGAAGGTCCTTGCCAAGACTTTTTAACTTTATAATTCTGATGTACATAAGTTTCATCAAGGTACACAATTTGCTTCCCTTCGTTTCGTTTTATATTTATTTCTCTCAAATACTTGTGCCTCCATGCAGAAATCTGGTATTTTTCTATAAGCATAGAACGTTCATTTTCATTGCTTTTAAAAGAAAATCCATTCTTAAGCATAATTTTTCGTAAAGTCTCACGGCTACCACTGAATCCTATTGCATCTTTTAATTCATTGTGAAGGCTTCTTAATGTTGGAACAATTTTTTTCACACAGTAAAATTCATTTACTTTATTCCGAATTGCACTTAAATCAAAATTATCTAAAGCAGACACTGTTGGTTGATGAGGTCGTTTTTTCCCAGGAGTGTCCCATTTTCCTTTATTAATTAATGCTTCATTTTTTATCCTTCTTAGTGTCCTTATACTTACATCTATAAAAGATTAAACACTTTGAAACAAAGATATGTTAAATGTATTTAAAAGCAAATAATGATAGACACATACATCAAAATAATTTAAATACCTATTCAACTATGAATGCAATTTATGTTTAATTTAGTTAAGTTTATGTGCATATTTAGCATGTATAACAATTACATGGTTTGATTAGTTTCATGAATTCTGTGAATTTCCTTGTTAAACAAAACATTCTTATGACATCATTGGATGTCAACAATAAAAACCAATACATCATAAAAAACCTATGTAAATATTATAGGAATACTATCAATCTATCTTAAATCAAAACAAGAAAAGAGACCTGTCATTGAAGAAATTTTTTGTAAGTACTGCGTTTCCGAATTCAGCATTTCTTGTTTTTCTAAAGTTTTTATTGCATTTATCTCCTCCATTATTGGTTGAATATCACCATCACAGTTATCTGAAATAGAGCAATATTTTATAAAAAATATCTGTTTAGTTAATTACAGAAAATTAAAACGAAAGTATCAAAATTATAATACAAAACTAACCTAAAAAAGATACAACTTTATCTAATCGTTGTAATTTCTCCATGAAATTTTTATTTAATTCAGTTTTCACTTCAGTAAACTTGTCAATCATGATGGAAAGAAGTTTCCTCGATGAACTTTTTATCGGCTTCGACATAATTTTTAACCAAAAACACAAGTTCAAATTCGCAAAAACAACAAAATTCAATATTCTTGAATTGTCTAACGTAGTGTCAAACTGACAGTTCTATGTTGTTGCCATATGAAAACGGAAAAATAGGTGGTGTCACGTTTCGCTTGCCAAACTCTACCACATACATGGGTGACAAAGGTTATTCTACTTGACAGTTATAAATATGTTAGAAATGGTATATCTATAGGCCATGAATTAAAAAATCCACTTTGTCCCTGGCATTGTCAGATGGGACTTAAACCCATGAACTTGGACCAATGGATTGCTAAAAAATATTTTTTAATATCATTATGACTACGTTACATAATTTAGAAGACTATAGTTGTGCCATATTTGAATGTTACTTAAAAGGTGTTATTAGTTTTAGTAGCTCTTATATTTGTTATGTCAATAAAGGCATTCTGAATTGTCTAACTTTTTATATTCCACCATTTAACATAACGACGCCGTTTACGCCGTCATTTACGCCGCCGCCACAAAATTTTTAGCTTCACGCCGCCGCCGAAAATTTCGGCATCGGCGCACATGCCTCAGATATAATGTTGACAAAAAGGTTATCATGGTGTTTACCACACGTTATGAAGCGGTTACTCAAATGCCGCCCGTTAAAATAAATGGTATGCTATTAAGTAGTCTCGCATTTTAAGTACCAGGGGCCACTGGGTCACTAAAGACCTGTCAAGTGATTTAGACATAGAAAGGGAGCGCAGGGCGTTGGCTGTCAAGAGCAACATGTTGACGCGTGGATTTGCGCGATGTGATGAAGGAGGCAAAGTAGATTCATTTAAAACATAGTGCCAGACGTTTTACTCGTGCAATCTATGTGTCAAGTACAAGCGAAAGTCATACAATGCCTTGCGCGTCTAGTATAATAATGGATTCAGGATGCTGTTGAGGCATCCGCATCACGCATGTTTGCGGACACTATTTTCGCGCACTATTCTTGCGGACTTATGTTTCCGCGGTGGCACTAACGGTCTCCTGTACGTGATTTCAGACCGCTGTGGTGGTCCGATTTCGAGGCATTGGGTGATGGTACACATGACTCACGTAGGTTTTAAAGTTCTTGTTTTACTAACAAATCTATGGACATTGTCTAAAATAATTTATAAGTGGTATTAATAAACAAGCAACGTAAAACACAAAAATATACGATAAAAAGTTTTTACTATGTCAAAAGAGTAAATACTCATCAAATACAGTAAATACTCGGTATTTACTAAAATAGAGTGTTTGTTGAGACCAGTTTTTACTGCTTTACCCATCCGTATCAGTGACTTGATCAGCGGAGCTATTCTGTAAAAATCCAAAACCGAATTCAAATTCACTGATGTGTCCGAATTCACGTAATTTAGTATAGAAATTCTATTAATTCAATTTTTGTTGAAGAATACAAAACAAGATTGACTACTCATACTTGTCTCTGATATTCTATTTCTATGTCATTTGACATTTTGTCATTTCACGAAACGCTATTATCAATTCAAAGTTGAGTTGATGCTGCTTTTGAAATGGACTCGGACACCTCATCATCAGCCGGAAGACGTCCACTGCTGAAAATAAGCCTCCTCCTTTGAACGCCACGACGGACGACATTGCGCCAGCTGCATCCAGCGGCCGCCCGCGACTCGGACGATGTCGTCCGTCCATCTAGTCGGGGGTCGATCCACGCTGCGTCTTCCGGTTCGTGGTCTCCACTCGAGAACCTTTCGTCCCCATCGGTTATCGGTTCGTCGAGCGATGTGGCCTGCCCACTGCCACTTCAGCTTACAAACTTAGGCGTTCTTTGGCGAATATCCACGTTTCGGATCCTATCGCGCAAAGAAACCCCTAACATAGCTCTCTCCATGCCTCGCTGAGCGACTCTGAGCTTCTCTAAGAGGCCAGCAGTTTCGGACACCTGAATGACTTCGAATTCGGGTTCAGATTTTTACAGAATCGTAGGGTTGATCACCATCCCTAAATCGAATATAATGTTTATCGATTATTATTCTGACATGACAGCTGGTTCTTTTTGACTTGACAGCTCCCTTTCGTTTTCGTAAGAAAAAATAATCTTCACTGTGTTTGGAAAAGATTTTTGTTAATTGATAAGTTTATTATTAGTGCATTCAGATTGAAATAGTTAGTTTTAGTTAGTTGTGTCCATAACAGCATATATTATAATGACTGGTGTAATGTTGCGTACTATAAATAGCACAAGCCGTAGTTAGTTCGTAATTTTGTCTGATTGTAGTGGTAGATCAGACATATTGAGAAGTAATTTAGCAAACATGGGGCGGCGAGAGGAGCCAGCCTGGTCCAAAGGCACGGTGGGCCTGACCATGGCAAGGGAGCGTGGTGACATACAAAGAGAGTTCCAGAGTCATCTGACGGTGACTAGAGAACTGATCGAGAGACTAGGTCTAGAAAGTACTCTTCATGGACATATGGGCTGCGTTAACTGTTTGGAATGGAACAACGATGGATCGTAAGTCTTTTTCTAGACAAGATTTGGTCTAATCAAAGGTCAATTTTATGTGACAGTTATTTTTTATTTTTAGTGTTTTGGCCTCTGCATCTGACGATTTACATGTGATCTTATGGGATCCTTACCGTTACAAAAAACTTCATAAAATGAGTACAGGACATACAGGAAACATATTCTCAGTGAAGGTAATAAATTTTCCTTTAGTGTTAAATAAGTTTTTGGTAGGTATTGAATTTAGTTAGAGCCATGGCATAATCCTCAACTATGGGTCAATTTTTAAATGTAATCATGAATCGGGATTACATTGCACTCATCCTTATCTGTTTTTATAACACTGTAATTGTAGTTGCAGTTGAGTAAGTACATTACCATATTAGTAAAAATTGTAGTATTTGTATCACATTCTTTATTACATTAATAATTTGAATAGAGTAACTTCAACAGTAGATATTGATATATATTTGTAGATAAACATGGGAAAATAAAACTGTGACTTGTAATCATCATCAGGAGTACCTTGATATATTAGGGTACTGCTAGGGAACCCATTTCCTTTATGATATTGCTAGGGAACACATTTCCTTTTAGAAAGAAAAATCAAAAGCAAGCCATAATCCACAACATAATCCCAGTGCACAATGTTCTAACAGTCTTACTGCATGTTGTGTATATGATCTGTACATGACCTACAGACAACTTATTAACTATATTTCACTTTAGGTATTTATTTCTTATCACAAAACAATAATCATTATATGTTTGTTTTCTGTACCAATAAGTAAATGCAAGATTGCTGTTATTGTAATACAGTTGTAAGTTATTGCAACAGATAATATTCTGTTGACTATAAGTACAAAGTTTCATTATTAATCATAAAGAAGTGACTTTACACAATGACTCATAGTATTAAAAAAAAATGTTAATGTACAGTGTAACTATACATGATTTGACTTTAATAGCTGATTAATATCTATCCAGTAGAGCTTGTTTCAAGAACTTAACGATGTAAATCATTAATAGATAAGTTAAAATGTTTGTGATGATATATTTTACAATAATACATAATATGCACCAAACAAGGTTTATGAGATGAGCTAGCCTTTGATATTTGGGTAAGGCTATTGTGGGTTGAGGTATATTCAGGGTGATCATAATGAACCTTATGTAAATAACATAAATTCAAACTTATCTTCTTTTTCTATTATTTTGTAAGGAATATATCATAGTCAAAATGAATGTGGTTAGTACCAAAACATTCATAGGATAATAAATTAAAACTTTCTGCACTGAAACAGCAGTGAGGAAAAAACAGAACATATAGCCACTGGTTTTTTCGTGCATATTACAAATGCCTATCAATAGATAAGGCTACTATTTTGGATATAATTGAGATACCATTGAACAGACAACATCTTAGTTTAACTTCAACTTTTGGTGTTATGCTATGTTTGACGAGTTTGATGTTACAGTGATGTATCTTTGAATAGCATTTTGTAAAGTTTTGACATAGGATGGGTGACCAAAAGTTAAAACGACTCTTCCTTTGCGATTCTATACATAGAGGAACCTTGTGAAATGGAAATGAATAGGTTAATTATTATGAAATATATAACATATACACAATACTTTTTTGTGTGAGCATGCAACCCCGGTCCAGTCCATTTGTGTGTAAAACAGTTGAAAGAGTTTAATGTATTACCTATCAGCAACTGGTTGCAGTTCATGACACCTGACTCATTGGCCACGTGTGCGGCGGATGGTATGGTCCGAGTGCGGAGTGTGTCGACTGGCGCGAATCTGTTAGAGTGTTCCTGTCACTGCGGCCGAGTGAAGAGGCTGGCCACGGCGCCTGATGACCCCAATCTTATATGGTCGGCGGGAGAAGATGGACTAATACTGTGAGAATATTTATAATGTTACAATTTAGGAAGTTTCTTTAATTATATAAGTTTTTGTCATACAGTTGTAAAAATATCACTAGAAACTCTCACATTAAGCCCTTCTGTTTGAAATGGCTTACAATATAATTTGCAAAACTGTTATTATTATTACTGCTACTCCTTAATCCTCCTCCTTAACCATCCATAAAGAAGGCCTGAGCCCCTGCAGTCGGGACGTAAAAGGGCTGGTGATGATGATGATGATGATAGCTGTCGCTTACATATATAATGATTTCAATTTACACAGTTTATATGGTGACTTGACAATACATTTATTCCTAGTGAACCGATTAGTGGGACAAAAAATAGCCTATATGTTATTCAGGTCTAGAATTATCCACACACCCATCAAAATTAATTCAGTGGTTTTAAGCTTGAAACACAGATATAAATATTTGGGAAGGTATACAAACAATTGATTCAAAATAGATTTAATTGATTTTGTTAGGCAACACGACATGCGTTCTCCACATCGGTGTAACACCGAAGCTACTAATGTACTGGTGAACCTTCTAAACCACATGGGACGGTACGCTGAGGCGAAGTGCGTCGCTGTCAACCCGCGCAGGCCGTACCAGCTCGCGGCGGGGGCGAACGACTTTTATGTGCGATTGTACGACACTCGCATGATTAAGTTAGCGAGACTACAGGTTAGACTTTTTTTTACCTAAAATTAAGATGATAAATTTTATCTTATTAATTAACTTTTAACGTCACATTTCTATATCGTATTGATTATATTAACCAGCGATTGGGCGGAGTTGGTCAAATTCATCTTTTATTTGCCCTTATAATTTTGTGATCACTTAGTATTTCTAAAGTGATACGAATACCTAAACTTGATATTTTCATGTAGCGTTTTTCTATTATTATTTATTAACCAGTTAACATTGGAAATAAAGAAGAATTAAAGTTTTCAATAAAAAAATTGTGTTGATACATAATGTCACCCTACTTACTTTGTTTAGTATAAATTAAAATAAATTATTAATATTTAATTTGCAAAACTAGTTTTTTTGGTAAAACATTAACTACCGATAGTGAATCTTAGAAAATAATGGTGTTTATCTGCGGTTTAGTACCGTTAAATGCACTCTGTTTGTAATCATCACCTGTATATATCGGTGGGTAGGTGAGCGCGTCGTCGTCGCGCATGATGTGGGAGCGCCAGAACGTGCGATGCGCACGCGCAGGCGCGGGCGATCCCGAGAACAACGTGCCCCGGAACGCGGTGCATTACTTCGCACCAGGTATGTGTGCACACAACACCACAGGTTATACCATCGTTTCTCAAATGGGGGATCGAGTTTGTTCTTAAAGGGGGTCGTCGTAATCGATCCACATAATGTGACCTAGTTATAAGATTTCTCTCCTCTTTATTGCTATTTTATCCATTAGTCGCACTACTTTCTCATTTTGCACTTTAGCTGTCCACAAAATCTTAAGACTTCTCCTGTATACCCACAGTTTAACTGCCTATGGCGTAACTTTTCAAACTTATGACGCCAGAGCCATCGTATTATGGAATATTTTAGAAAAGATGTTGCCATAACATCCACACCAGAAGAAATCGTTTTTTGATCTTACCGGAAATCTAATCCGGGAGCTCGGAGTAACGACCTCAGATCGCGACTCCTGTATTGGTTATCATTGGTCTTTTTTTATTTATTAAGTGGCAATTTTTAATGACTCACTCTAGCACTAGCATTACTCTTTGTATGTATTATATATCGGTGCAATATGTCTCTGTTAAGTAAATGAATTTAATAAGCGCCGCTTTCGCAGTCTTCGATTGCGGTATAACGACCAATTAGCCTCAAATGTGAGATTAATCTATTAAATATTTGCTGTACTCGTAGGTCACCTTTCGATTGAGCCGAACGAGCAAACGTTCCCGAAGAAAGCCACCACATACGTTGCCTTCAGCCACGACGGGAACGAACTTTTAGTCAATTTAGGTTCAGAACAGGTAACACTTTTTTATAATGTATAATAAAAATAAATATTAGAGCGCCACTTGCATTGATCTGAAGATTAAATATTAGATAAGTTCGATTGTAAAAAAGAGTCGATATACTCTTAAGAAATTTACACATTTCTCAACATATTGGTCATTTTAATCCTATCAGTAATTAAATTTTATGTTTTTTTTAAATTAATTAAATCATGTAGCTACTATTTGCTCTAATATAAATAATATCAGATGTGAGTTTTGAGACATTACTTGTGGAAATGTAACAGAAATACTCCGTGTATTTAGTAAAACTTTCGATGTACACAAATGAGACTTTAACTATAGATTTTTTTATTATAACGCAAGTGGATGGGAGAATGAGTTTTGAATATCCTTGAACTGATGTTAAATCACATTTTTCCTGGAAAACCCTTTCTGATTCTCTTTGACTACATTACGACCACGTAGCACATCACCAGCCTATTGATGTCTCCAATGCTGGGGCTCAGGCCTTCCCTATGGATTGAATAAATTAAATCAAACCGAATATGGAGAATGGCCTACCACACGGGCCCACTGCGGATCGGTGGGTATTAACGTCCAGCAGACGCATTCGTGCCTTACGAAGCACGGAGGAGAAATTTTGGTCACCCAACCTAGGACCGGTCATCGCGAAAGTCGCTTGATAATCATATCACAGACTGAGCGCGCTAACCACCGCTTTGCGCCGGGCGAAGATTAAATAAACAAAACTTCTCTTCAGGTGTACCTGTTCGATATAAACTGTGCTCGTCGTCCTGTTCTGGTGGAGAGTTTCATCATCCAACACAACCACGGCACGCGGCCCGACGAAAAGCAGCGGCCGCGGAACGGCACCGCCCCCGCCCCCGCCCCCGCTGCCGCTTCCGCCCCCGCTCCCGCCTCCGCCGATGCAGACGCCGCGCCGCTACCAGAACGCATACGTCGGCTCAAAGAGACGGTCACTATATAACTCATTTCACTTAATTCCGGAAGGTTTCGCACAGTGAAACGGTATTACGAGGGTCAAACTGAAAGTTCTTAGAAAATCAAAAACTGATTACATTAGCCAGTTATTAGTTTTATTATATCTTTTCAAAATATTGTCCATTCACGTCAATACACCGCTGCATGCGATGGAACCACTGGGAAAAGCACTTTGCCCACTCGTCCTTAGGGGTCTCTTCAATGGCATCGCGATACGCAGCCACCGCTTCTTCAGCATTCATAAACCGCTTTCCTTTAAGTTTTTCTTTAATTTTTGGAAATAAATAAAAATCACAAGGCGCGAGGTCGGGGCTATACGGCGGGTGACCCAGTAATTCAACGTTTGATGTCGCCAAATAGTCGATCGTTCGCTTGGCGGTGTGCGACGAGGCGTTGTCGTGGTGAAGGAGGATCCTACTGCGAGGTCGTTTCTCTCGAACTTTTTCCAAGACAAGTGGCAAACAATTGGTAGTGTACCATTCTGCAGAAACTGTTTTTTGATCCTCTAACACAATTGTTGCAAAATGACCTATCCTTCCAAAGAACGAGGCCACCATTTTTTTTCCCGCACTTCGATCTCTCTTCACTTTAGTTGGCAACTCCTCGAAAGGAAACACCCACTGAGCAGATTGTCTTTTGGTTTTAGGATCATAACAGTAAATCCAGCTTTCGTCACCTGTTAGTATGTCGAACACAGCATTTGAGTCACCTCCGTTAAATCTTTCAATCATTTTACGACACCAATCCACACGATGGAGTTTTTGAGCCTCAGTCAAATTATGAGGTATCCACCGGGCGCAAAGCTTCCTGACCGCTAAATGTTCGTGGAGGATTTTGTGCACTTGACTCATACCGATGCCTAAGCTTGTCCGAATCTGTTGATAGGTCACTCTTTTGTCAGTCTCTATCATACGCCGCACAACACAGATGTTATCTTCAGTCGTCGCCGTAGAAGGCCGTCCCTCACGTAAATCATCAGTGAGATTAGTGCGACCACGTTTAAACTCATTAAACCAGTTGTAAACAGTCGCACGAGATGGGGCTTCATCGTGAAAGGCCAATCGTAGTCTATCATAACTTTCTTGTTGACTTAAATGACATCGAAAGTCATAAAAAATCATTGCACGAAAATTTTCTCGTGTTAAATTCATGATGACGTGACACAGACAATTTTCAATTTGCCGCCAAATCGTAAAACAAATGACAAATGAATGAAATATATACTCAGTAATATTGGCAAAGAGTTATATTTTCAAATTTTAGAATTATTTTTTTATTATATTGTTTATAAGTGGCCAGTTCTAAGAACTTTCAGTTTGACCCTCGTACTAGTGTGAATTAACATAACATAAATAATTCTAGTATAAAGTTCGGTACCAGCCGTAGTTTGATGTCATATGAGGACAGATTGAGTAAATTCAATATTACATCTCTTAACACACGCCGTTATCAACATGATTTAATAACACTTCATAAATTAGTTCATTCCATAATTGACTCAGAATATCTTCTTTCATCTATTAACATTAATTTCAAATATAATCCAAGGCGCAGGCTTCCAACTTTTGTCTTACCAATATATAGAAATAATATCCACCACCAGCCCTTTTACGTCCCCACTGCAGGGGCTCAGGCCTTCCTTATGGATGGTTAAGGAGGAGGATGGGCCATGACCCTCCACGCTGGCCCAATGCGGATTGTAGGGTAATAATAATATATCTTATCATAATCCCATCGCTCGTATGTGTAGAAATTATAATGAGACCCTCCCAGTTAATCAGGCATTAGACATATTTAATGCCAATCTCTTTAAATTCAAAATATGTATTAAAGAAGTTGTGGTAGACCTAAATGTCGCATCTTTTTATCATCCAGATTGATATATACTTATTCTTTCTGTTTTTGCATATTAGTAAAAAAAAAAAATCATTCTTTAAAAATTGGTCATCATTCATGTTTGTTATACCGAGAGGAAGTTTATTATACATTATAATTTTACATCACATTATTATTATGCATAGAATTGACAGAATGCGTGCTAATATCAAAAATTCATTTGACAATACAAGACGTCTGTCGGAACAGCTAGTTATATATAATATAATAGGTATATGTGTCTGTGCAGGCTAACGAGCACGTGAACAAGTGTAACTACGCCGAAGCGATATACCTGTACAACGAGGCCATCGCGGCGTGCCCGCACTCCGCCCTGCTGTACTCCAACCGCGCCGCCGCGCTCATGAGGCGAGGCTGGTATGTGTACACACATATGCACACATATACACACATATCTACACATATACGTAATAGAGATGCGCCGAATATTCGTTTATATTCGGTATTCGGCATCTTTTTCGGTTCGTATTCGGTTTTGCTGCCGAATGTATAGAATTAAAAGACGAAACTTCTTTTGTATCGTATCATATGATTATTATTATAAAATATAATATTTAAAGTATTTATATATATAGTTTATTAGTAACTCGTGAATGAATATATTTTAGGGGCAAATTGGCTAAAATATACACTATAACAGCGATATATATATAAATATAGACACTATAAAAATATAATAGAGATCAGAGAATAATAAAAGATAAGCAAAGGAAAACATACATATTCTAATATTTATAATAAATTAATGGTGCAGAAAAACACCAAGCTCTCGGCCCTCTTCGGCAAGAGTCTGATATTACTACCAGGAGAACAGAGAAACACCTTGACTCATTAAAAACAATGAAATGGTAAACCGAATAATTCGGCCGAATATCCGGTTTGGTTAAGCTTAAACCTAATATTATTTGGTATTCGGTTATTCGGTGAAACCACTATTGTCAGTGTCTCTCTAATACACACATATGCGTTTACTATCTTATTCTCACAAGCTGATAATATAAAATATAGCTATACAAAAAAGATCAACAAGCATGAGTATCACTATTTATAGATTGCATTACGCTCATTATCTGTCAATAAACTGTCAGTGTTTGTGTATCAGTGCTACCGGTCGTTTATATGATATCATTAAAACACAGATGTTATACTGATACTTTTTTAACCGTTAATAATAATATAGTTTTTCTAATCATAAAATTAATACCCTTTTTGACCTAGGCACATAAACACGAACATTTGACGACCTCCGTAGCCGAGTGGTTCGCACGCCGGTTTCAAGGTGTCGCCATCTCTGAGATCCCGGGTTCGATTCCTGGTTGGGTCAATGTAGAAAATAAACTTTTCTATATTGACTCGGGTCTGGGTGTTGTGGTACCTTCGTTGTCTCAGATACTCCATAATACGAGAGCTTTAGCTACTCATCTTGGAATCTGAGCAATGTATGCGGTGTTGTTAAATATTTATTCATTTATTTATTTATTTATATATTTTTTAATTGTTTAAGTATATTTATTTACTATTCCGGTCCCTTCTTTAGAATAAACACAGTGTCAGCTTAATCCATCGTTGTTATTTTCGAATCTTTCTCTACGGACGGAGTAACGTCCCAGTTAGCACCACGTTGGGCGCCAACGGCCGTGCTTTATGAAACATGTGATATACCCCGGCTATGATCGGTCCAGGTCCGGCGACACGTACGCGGCGGTCCGCGACTGTTACTGCGCCATCAAGCTGGACCCGGACCACGTCAAATCCCACTTCAGACTGGCCAAGGGACTGATGGACCTCAAGCGGGCCAGGGAGGCGCACGAGTGCCTACTATACTTTAAGGTTAGGGTGATTCAGTAAAACCGATCTTATCACAGAACTCGAATTGATGAAAAGGAAGATAATAATTATAATCTATTATATTTTTTAAATTAAGTTAGCGATTCCGTTTCACAAACAAGATTAAAGTTTCATCATTACTCATCCCGTCAAACTGCTGTTTGTTTTCTGTAAATAACTAAGATAGCAGAAGTGAATTTAATAGAGTATTCAGTATAGTTTCTTTGATACTATAACAAGTTAAAACAAATCGAAATGTATTTTTTTTATGCTTATAAATTGGTCGACCTTTTTGACAGTGTTTTCGAATGATTTTGTAATATTTTCTTTTTGGATTTATGTAATGGAATTACATGAAATGATTAAGAAGATCTATTTTATGATATTCGATTAGTTTGTATTTAATTTTTATTCTAAGCTTGTGATAGCTTGAACGTAGGACTGCAATTGATATGTACTCCGTTTGATTTACTTAAGGCATACAGTCGGTTTCTGAATTAAGTAAAACATCTCAACTGATTACTCTCAATGAAGTTTTATTCTAAACTTATGATAGCTCGTACGTAGGACTGCAATTGATATGTACTCCGTTTGATTTACTTAAGGCATACAGTCGGTTTCTGAATTAAGTACAACATCTCAACTGATTACTCTCAATGAAGTTTTTATGTTTCATAAGCCAAAAAGTCTTAGTTTTATCAAACTGCTATCAACTTATCATTAAAAAAGTAAAATCAGAAACGAAAACGTGTTCAAGTGACGTTTACGTATAGTTTAAATTCTCAACTAGGAAAATAGATTACAATTTTTAAAAATAGCCTGTGCTATATCTTTACAGTAACTCGCTGGATATACACCCAGTTGCACAAACATCCATTAAAATAGTCATTAGTTTAAAGTGACATTACCGATACAAATTTGACATTCATTAGCCGTCATTAAGCCTAAATGGACGTTTGTGCAACTAACCGTTAGAGTATTGTTGCTTACAGGACAAATTCCCTCGGCATGCGACGAGTCATGCTGTATTTCTTCTGCAGAAGGATATCAACGTGGCGCTGGAGGGCATGGATCAGCCGCAGCCAGACGAAGGTGAGTCAATCAAAAGCGGCTAATTGGCCGGTTTAAGAAAAGTATTTTAATTAAAACTGTCATAGGGGCATTTAAAATTACTTCTTTAAAATTTAATAAAGAAACTTATTTATATTCCTTAAATTAAACCGTCCCGCGAAAACAATCATGCGCGTATAATTGCGAGCCGGGACGTCACATTTCAATAAAAACGAGTACCGGTCGCACTCGCAATAAAAGACCAACGACGTTTAATTTATTGAACACGATTACATACCAGCCATAACTGCCGTTCGAGCTTTAACATCCTACAAATATGATAAAATGTGTCCAGCTTCTTGTTCCAATAAACATCACTGAATAACTTTATAAATAATATCCTGAGCTTCACTCTGATTAATTCTCTTCATTTTTAACACTTTTCGACGGAGTTTAGAAGAAGTAGCTTCAGTTTAATCAAAACAAATCAAAAATGCAGAAAATCGAGCTAAAATATCAAGTTGTTGACAGTCGATGTACTTTGATTCAGTGTTGTCATACTTGTGTCTAATGTTAGTTCCTCAAACATTCTTTTCATGACTTTATAGACAGACTGTTGGTCTCCGTCGATCGATATCGTGTTTTCAATCGATAAGAATCGGTATGCCGTTTCAAATACAACATGTATTCGATGCAAGTGAAATTATGCCTTCCATCACTAAATTAAGATCGTGACGTCATGATACCTACACAAAATGTGGCACGCTCTGTCTCCATATAAATCGACGAACATTTTCCTTCTAACTAGATTTATTTCTGTGACTATACTCCATTCATTATAACATTAGAAAAAAGAGGGTCACGGAAGCAGCAGTGCAGAACATTTTATTTTCAAGATAAATTTAAAAATATGTAATAATTTTGTTGAAACTTTGAACGTTAGGTAGTCTGAAAGAGCTGGGCAATTTACCTCGATACCTCGGGGTTAAGATGAGGCCAGCATTTTCTAAATTAATCTGCTACTCCCTAGTCAACATGGAACTAAAACTACATATCTGTTGTTTTGAAAAATTCTAATTGTAAGTGTTAATTAGAATAGAATTTAGTTATATCTGTGCCCAGGAAAGAAAGGTAAACAAAATAAAATTTTTATTATTACTTTTATAACATTTATTCAGACATTATTATACTATTAATGAAGACATTGGAAAAACTTCATGAAATTTAAAGGTTGGGGTTAGGTATGGGGGCTTAAATTTTCAGCACTAAGACGTCTTTATTGGTTAATTGTACGTAGCTGTATTTAGGTTGCGGTAAAGCTTCTCTTGATTGTCAGTAAGTAACCGCTTGTCCTAGTTTATGTGTCTAAAATCAGATTATTTAATTGTCATCATCTGGTGATGATGATGAAGAGGTAGAAGTTTCGCCAACTTTTATAATGAATTTTTCTACCACATCTTCAATTATGCCATCAAGTTGGCCAAAACTTTCTTCCTATTTAATTGTATGAGCAATACATGATTGCCATCTCTCTGGGGTGATATTGGCCAGAGCTTGAGGAAGCAATTGTTTTATTTCCTCTAATTTAAAATATTTATTATGTTGGGAAACATACCCCTTCATTTGGGCCCATACCAACTCAATAGGATTGAGTTCGCAGTGGTAAGGTGGGAAGTGGGTTTAGACGTTTCTGATTTCTGTAATTATAAATATATCATATTTTGTGCCGTTTATCTGCCACCACCAGTGACCAAAAATCATTTGGAGCATTACATTAATAATTATAATTCAGTATCTGAAAAAACTAATTTTAAAATTATTACTATTGGAGATTTTAATCTGGGTATGGTCGACTGGAATAAAGCGAATTTAGATAGTTATATATCTCGCGGTCCCAGCCAGTTACTTGTAGATTTTTGTAACCTTAATGATTTGAGACAATATAACGCCAATCTTAACGTTAATAATAGAATACTCGATCTGGTCTTAAGCAGCGAAATGGAATGTCGGGTTGAAGTAGCCTCGGATATACTAACAAAAGAGGATCTCCACCACCCGCCCTTAGTGGTTAGTATTCTAATCTCTAACAACAAGCATAAAAATCTTAATTATAACGTTAATAAAATTAAAAGGAACTTTAATAAAGCTAATTACACAGAATTAAATAAGTTTTTTTCAGAAATAGATTGGGAGCATGAGTTTGGAGATAGTTCAGATATTGACGTCGTTGTGGATACATTTTATCGCCTCATTAGTCAAGCAATTGCAAGGTTTGTACCTGTTAAAAAAACCTGTAATAAAACATATCCAGTTTGGTACAATCATTCCATGATTAGGACATTAAAAGAAAAGTTTAATGTTAGGCGTAGGTTTAAAAAATACGGCAATCCAAGAGATAAATTAACACTAGATTTATTAAACGTAAGATTTAACAAGCTCAATCGGGAATGTTATAGGGCTTATTGTAACAGTACTGAGAATCTTATATCAAGGAATCCTAAATATTTTTGGTCAGTCATTAAGTCAAGATGTGGTGGTTCGGGAACTTGCCCGTTGATTATAGCTAATGATAAGAAGTCTTCTTCAGATGGAACCGAAATTTGTAACATGTTTGCATCTCATTTTGCTTCTGTTTACGGAGAGAAGAACTGCGGCTCTCAGACACACTCCATTAATATTTCCGATCAGATTCACGGTAACTCTTTTATATTGCCAATCATAATAAAGTATGATACAGTTGTCGCGAAATTAAAACACCTTGATATCACGAAGGGTTCGGGGCCTGACGATATACCACCTCTTTTTCTATACAAGTGTAGTAAGGAGTTAGCAAAGCCATTGCATTTGATTTATAACCTTTCTCTCAAAACTGGAACATTCCCTAAAATTTGGAAACTGGCTAGAGTCATTCCTGTCCACAAAGACGGCAGTATCGGGACAGTCAAAAATTATAGACCAATATCTATTTTGTCAGTTGCTGCAAAGGTTTTTGAGGCCTTGCTTTGCCCAATCATTCAACATAATTTCAAGCAATTCTTATCTGAACATCAGCATGGATTTGTCAAAGCTAGGTCTACAGCTACCAACTTAGTATCATATACTGAACATGTTATAGCGGCAGTAGACGCTGGAAAGCAAGTAGATGTATTATATACAGACCTTAGCAAGGCTTTTGACAGATTATCTCATCGTATACTTATAGATAAACTTAATGCATACGGTTTTTTTGGCTCCTTTTTGACTTGGATTTTCTCTTACTTGGATAAACGCAGGTTTTATGTAGTGGTCAATGGATATCAGTCAGACTGTGTTGAAATTTCCTCAGGTGTGCCGCAGGGTTCACACTTAGGTCCTTTACTGTTCAACGTATTTGTAAATGATCTTCCAGGCTGTTTCAGGTACTCTGTTCCATTTATGTTTGCAGACGACTTAAAGTTTTTAAGAATTATCGAATCTGAAAACGATGCGTTGCTTTTGCAAGAGGACCTTTTTCGCTTAGTTGATTGGTGTCGGAGTAATGAGATGTCTCTAAATATTAAAAAGTGTTTTCACGTAAAATTTACGAGAAAGTTAAATATGATTCCATCAATTTATAAAATAGACAATAATATTATTCAAGAGGTTACAGAGATCCGAGATTTAGGAATTATTATAGATAGTAAGCTCACTTATGTTCCTCACATAAATTCTATAATTTCTAAAGCATTGCGAATGTTAGGGTTCGTTCTAAGAAACAGTAAATTATTCCGACAAGAGAAAACAATAATTTTGCTTTATAACTGTTACGTTCGCAGTATACTTGAGTATTGTAGTGTTGTCTGGAGGCCACACTATGCTGTTCATGAGCTTAGGATGGAAAGAATACAAAAACGCTGTCTGAGAAGTTTGGCAGGGCGGGTTGGGATATCCTATAGACATTATTCTTATATGGAGAGCCTCAAAAGATTTAAAATGACGCCCTTAAATATCCGAGGCAATGTCCTTGACTTAATTTTTTTATATGGCTTAATCAGGAATGAAATTGATTGCTCCGGGTTGCTTAGTAAGTTTAGGCTCAGGATACCGTTAAGGTATCCTCGCTCGTCTGTCAAGTTGTTCTCTCTTCCAAGACGTCGTACTAACTTGGGATTTAACTCACCCGTTTTACGTTTGAGTCGATTATACAATAGTATTAGTAATATAACTGACATAAATTGGTTGTCAAAGAATAAATCCAGAGAAATACTGTATAATTATTTTAATAATTAAGATAGATATAATGTAGTTGATATACTGTGTCTTTATAAATAGATTAAGATGTTGGATTGCATGCAGTATTTACCTATAATTGTCTTTGCATTTACTAAGTTGTTTTATAAGATTTACTTTTTCTGTATTCTGTATAAATGTTTAAGATGTTGGTAAATAAATAAATAAAATAAAAAAATAGTAGCATTCACAACGAATGACAATCCCAGATTACGTATGTTGACAATTATGAATACAACATAACCTGACAAAATTAAAAAGTTGTACTGCCGAAACATTTGAAGGGTTTAGGTAACGTTTTTAATGTAGTAGAGTTATAGTGACATGAGAATCATGCCGAAACTATCCAACCCTGCTTCTTTAGGTTCTTTAAGATGAACACTTTTTATTGTAATAGTTATTAAATCATTTAATTTAGTCAAATACTCATAAATTTGGTTAATAGATAGCTTTAACGACAACAGTTAAGTATAGCAGCTGGTATTTAAATGGATATGTAGCAAATTAGCAGTCAATTTTAAGAGTAACATGATTATTGATATTTTGTCACAAAGTATATCATAAAAAGAGCCTTATTTAACTTCTGTCTAATGCTATAATGAATGGAGTATAGTTATCTAAACATGCAATTTCTTACCTAATAAAGATATTTTTGTTCGAATTTGTGTGGTTGAATTATTTTAAATTCGCTAGGGGTAAACTCGATTCCCATACTTGTTCACAGAGGTAGTGATATTGAAAAGTTTTAATAATCTACCGACAACCATCGGTAGCAGCTACCGACCGTTTTTTGAGCTATCGACAACCATTCGTTTTTGCGTTTCACAATCATCGGTAGGCGCCTACCAAGAACGAACGGTTGTCGGTAGCTCATTTTTTTAATTGTAATTATTTAATTCAGGGAAAAGGGATCTTCCCATATAGCCTAGTCTTAGGTAATATTATGATCATACTAAAATGTTGGTCAAAATCATAAGAAGGAAGACAGAGAAATCAAAAGGAAAGAGGTGAACTTATTTATTGTATGGTTAGGTCCCTAAAAGTTGTGTTATTTGTGAAACAAATTATCGTCTGGATTTAATCTGGATTTTAACTTAACAAAAGAGTTAACCATTACAACAAGTAGTTTAGATTTATCTTTTTAAAAGTTTTTAGTATTTTTTTTTTTTGAATGTGAAGAGTATCACGCTTAACTAGGTTGTATGTGCTATATCCATTTGCCTTTAATTAT